TCGCGCTTGAAGTGGCCCATCTTCCCACAGCCGAAGCAGCGGATGTCACGCTGTTCGGCGGACCCGAGTTCCATGGGAACTGGTCCGTTGGGGCTTGTTCGACCGGGAGCCGACAAGGAACTCCCAGGCCACGCTGAGGCCGGCGTACGCGCCTGGCGATGGCTGTACTCTTCTTGAAGAGCCACTTGAACCGCCTCTTCACGGGTGCTTGACTGCACCCGGAACAGCTGAGTGCGTGCGGGACCCACTCGAAGGCCGTCCATGAACACAGTCATCTTGATGTGTTCGTTGAGTGGGTTTCCCACTAGGGACGCCGTGGGCTCCCGTATCTCTTGCACATACTCGTGCAGTTCGCGCCTTCCTTGATTACACGCGAGGAAGCGCGAACGCTGGCGGTACTCGTAGCTCGCCGGGAGGAACGCGGCTCGGTGCTGTTCGCACAGCTGAGCCCAGGATGTGAAACATCCAGGGGATGTTGCTTCCCGAATGCACACCCAACGCTTAGCACGACCGCTAAGGTTGGAGAGTGCAAAAGCAACACGCAGCTGATCGGTCGAGATCAGAGCCGCGTCCATCGCGAGCTCAACTTCTCGGACCCAGAAGTGAAGGTTCTCGCCTTTCTTCCCTTCATACGGCTTTACCTTCAGCCGTATTGGCTTCGGGTGAGGCGGGTTTGCTTCCGCCGCCGGAGCCTGCAGGTTCTCCCGCACATGCGCGATGAGGCCCTGCTCGTACGCGTCGAATGCATTGACGCGCTCGAGCTGCTCAGCCGGTGTTGATACCACCAGGCTCTGCAGGGCCTCCATCCCGAAGATGCCTGCCATCTTCCGAACCGACTCGAACTGAGAGTCGTTCATATGGGAGAAGTCGTTCCTATCCATGGCAACGAACTTCGGAGGTTCAGGTAGTCTACCCGCGATGGCGTGGATTGACTACGAGTGCTACCAAGTGTGACGGGGTCACACAGCACCTTGCGCTAGAGGAAGTTATCTTCCGAGAGTATACAAACTCTCAGTGAACGGCAGTTCACAGGTCCCCTCTTTAATATAAGAGAGCGAAGTGACCTAAATAAGGTAGATTGTAAACTGAGTATATTTATAGGTAGGTTAAGTTTGAGGTTAATACAAACTATCAGTTACCTATAGAAATGCAATGTCATTTAACCAATGGTTGGTTTTGAATGACCTTGGTACCTTGTACCAAATATCCCGGAGTATGACATGTCATACTCCTGAAGTGTGAAGTGTCACACTTCATGTAACCAGGGTACACTTAGTGCTACGTACCCCGTTACACGTCCTCTTGCTTGCGCCAATCGTAGATTGCTCCTCGCGCAATATTGAATTTTTTGGAGGCGGCCTTAACGCCCTCGCATTTAGCGATCGTCAAGGCCTCGCGTTTTTGCTTCATTGTGAAGCTTCGCTCAACGCGCTTCAGCGCAATATGACTTGTTAATTACCGACGCCAAGGAGTGTTTTATTCATTATTTTTTTGTAAGTAATTGGATTAAAAACTTCTTGTATAAAGATAAGATTGGATAAAAATACAAAAATAGCTACTATGGGATAGAGGTGTGCTCACAATCACTAGTCGGATATTGGTTCTGTCGGATTTCTCCGTCGTTATCTGTGTACCGGTACATGTGCTAAAGTATTTTAACAGCTCGTGGTTCAAAGAATTAAAAAAAATGCAAAAATAGTAAAACATGTTTGAATTATTCTCTTTAATTTTTTTTTGGGTGATAGTTTTGATTTTTATGCTAAAATAAGAAAATTATTTTCTTTTAATAATTCTGATTTATAAAGTATTAAATTATAATAGTGCTTATTGTGTTTTAGCAATACTGGTATTTGTCTACCTGCCTTCTTTCGGCTAGGCACAGTTTGTTCGGATACTTGCTGCTGGCTTCGTTGCACCTCTAAAGCGAATTAGATCGCAACGATGCGGCTGAGCTTATTCATGTTGAGTATCACCTTTTCCTCGAACACGACCGGTTCACCCTGACTCACCACAGAGCTGGAGCGTACACTAAGTTTACCATAAGAGTCCGAATGTAAGGGATCCATCGATAGCGAAGGTCGCAAATACTTGAGACCGCCTGAGCCATAGGAAACCAAATAGCTTGTCTTGATGCTATTGGTCTCGAAATCACCGTCGACCTCCGGAGTATTGTTGTGCAATGCTGAGACCTTATAGAGTTGATCCAGATCCAGAGTATACTTCTGTTTGGAGCCACGCTTAAAGTACGTGATGGACGAGTCGAGCCCGCTCGCCCCGGGCAGCTGGTTCTCCACATTGCTTCTTGACATGTTCAAGGTGTCAACATTGAGCGACAGCATCTTGGATATTTGCTGAGAGAATTTGTCCAGTCGTTTGTCGATTGCACGGAGGCCCATGACACATCGCACGCAGAACTTGGTCTGACAAATTGCCGTATCGTCCGCAGGTTTGCAGCCGTATCCTTCTCCCATGTCCGCACCAGGCACAGCCCGGGTAACGTAGCAGGTCTTGCAAACTACGTCGCCGCATAGCCTACAGTGGTGTCGCCGCCGATACATGAAATGGAACTTGCGACTACAGATGCTGCACGAAGGACGGTTCTCATCGGGGACCCAGTTCTTATGAAGAGCCAACGTTTGCGTTGCGATGTTCTGGGAGTCGATCACGAGTGAAATATCATTGAGAACAGCCATGTTGAAGCGGTACTGGGCATGCGCAGTAATCGACGACTCGCTCGTCTCAGTGGCGCCCATTACGAAGACGTCGGAGGTCGCCTTCGGTGTGTCAAAGGACGGGACCACGAGCATCGTGCGCTTCATTCGCACACGTGTTAGCTTCATGGATCCTGTGAGTTCTGGACATTCAGGCACATCGACCGACGCCATTGCCACAAACCCGATCTCCTGTCCGTTTGTGTTGGTGGTGTAGCCCACAATTTCCACAAAGCAAACATCACGCTTGCCGGCGAACGAGTTTTCAGCGATCCATTTGATGCCCAGATAGCTGTCCTTCGTTGCGCGGATGGTGTGCAGAACAGCACAGTCAATTACTACAGGGGACAACAATTTTTGTTGCCGAACGAAATCCTCAGAGCTAGAAGCGTAGTGTGCATCCACAATATCGCGATAGTTGCCTTGGACGCGTCCGAACGTTCGGAATGATTGCAGTGGTGGTCGGCGGCTAAGAAAGTCACGGTGTCCTACCGTGGCGCCAACGGTACGACGGGAGAACGACAACCGTCTGTGACGGCTTCGAACGCTACTTCGACTGCGCATGGTCCAAGTGTGCGATCCAGTACTGATACGGTCGTTGACATTGCATGCGGTCGCTCGGGTGCTTCGATTCAGTGTAGTAGCCCAGGAAGAGGTTGAGCAGAAGGAGTCCGTCCCTCGGAGTTTAAACGTCTTAAGCTGGCCGAGTGAGTTCACAAAGCGCCATTTCGGGTCTAGAGTGTTATCCTTGGCGAGCTGAGCGGTGCGTGCTTGAATAGCGTCCTGCACCTGCTGCTTCATCATCGCTTCGAGTTTTTCAGCTTGGGAGCGAGAAAGCGACACCGGCGCGAACACCTTTGGCGTGTGCGTTACCATTGCTACGAATGATTTTGCGGCTCGTTGCCCGGCGAAAGTTAAGAAATGGACGCATGAAATCACTTCTAGGAGCGCCGCTAATTGGTGCTGCGACAGCGGCATTTCACCCCTCAAAGTGAGCGGACTGCTCTACACATGTTAGGACGAATGGTACTACTGTACCGGTACTGAAGTAGGTAGGATAATGCGCGCATCCATCCAACAGCTTACTGTGGTCCGTAAGATATGGATTAGACCACTTGGATATCTTTTCGAAACGCCATTGAGATTGATCTGAATGTCAATATCTTTAAAAATGTAAGTAAAAAAGTTTGTGGATATTTTTCAAGAAAGTGGTCTCCACTTGCCACATTGTCCGTCAATGGCAAGACCATGAATAAGGGGTGGCACCAAGCGAATAATACATGCAGAAGATCCGCCGCTTCCTACGCCGACAAGAGAGTGTCACTGGATTCGCCTTCACGTTGGACCAGTGTACATTGTATCTCCACGATTTGTCAAGTGCAGAGGCTATCGCGTATTCTGCAGGCATGAATATCGCCGGACATTGTCGGTGGTGAGTCAACGGAAACGATAGGTGCCACTAGCGGTGAAGCCTATCGTTTCCGTAGTGTTGACCTTCATCATGTGGACGGGGGAGGGCTTAAACAGCTCGAGTCAAACTTGCCAAACAGTGATATCCGGATAAAAACTTTCCTACAGTGCTGCAGTTTGATCTTGTCAAGATCACCGTCGAACTTCTTTGCTTTGCTGTTAGTGCCAGGATTGCGCATCCAACGACCTCGAAATATAACATCCATTCTCGTCTTTCCACTTCGGTGATGCATTTAACGAATCCAGTAAAAGCGGCGTAGGTTCAGGATGCGTTGAACACGGCAAGGTGCTTCAGCGCACACTGAAGTTGAGGTATTTCTATCGTTGCCCCGCCTGGTTAATGTAGATGCTGCATCAGTAGTTTTTCGGAACTTAGGTATAATGATGTTCCTTCGCTATTATAATCGATGGCGGAGCTTAGCATTCTTCTTCGGTGTCAAATAACCGTTAGGTGCGTCAAAGGAAAACACGTGAGCAGTCCACAAAATAAAATAGTGCGGGATAAAAAATCCAGATTCGTTTTCATGAAAGGGTTCACGATGTGAGTGCGATGAGCGGCCCAGGGTTGATGCGGGAGTAAGCATATCCGCGAGCAAGATGCGCCTGAGTGTTCGTCAGCGCTAGTGGAAATCGCAATCCACGCTGACGAAGTGCTATCGATTGAAACGAGTTATCAAATCCAACCGTAGTACTATTTTACACTTAGCGATGCCAGATTTGTGCGACGACTCGCAGTGTAACAGAAAGGTTGGTCGCTATTGTCGTTGCTATTTACTTTCTCTATTGATGAAGATGGTACACTACTGCATGCTTTCTCAATTATGCGGTAGGGACAACAGCAGCACCTGGAGGCTTCTGACGGAAGAATTCCTGCAGTTTTTCGTGCTGGTCCATGCCATGCGTGAACTCCCTCAGCTTGATCTTGTTGCTGGTCTGGTTTCGATACACAAAGCCTAGATACGGCACACCGTCGAACTCGACGACCTTTTCGCTAAACTCCTTGCCGACAAAGTCGTTATCTTCATCAAACCATTGACGAGGCTCACGGGCAACCACAATACGCAGCAGCACAGCGTTGTCTGGTGCGGTGTAGTTATAGTAATGCATGACTGGTACCTCCGCCTTATCACAGAACGGACACCACAGTCGATTGTTGAAAGAGTGTACACCTGATACGAAGAACATGAAGAGCGGAAAGCTGTAGTCGTAGAAGGTGAGGAAGTCCAGGACCTGCTTCATGGTGTTAAAGTGCATGATGCGGTTGGTGTGCGGCACTCCAGCCGCCGGTTTGTTCACGCTGAACACGACGTCAAGTAGGTCTTGATTCAGACAATTAGGGCCAGCAAGCAATGCCGACGTGTTGCCACCACCATCATATCGCATAAGCGTCGGCAGATAGTCGATATAGAAAAGCTGGTTCTGTCGGAACGGGTTCATGAGGTCGTTCCAGTATTTTTCCGGCCCCACCTGTATCTCCAATAGTCTCGATCGTCTTGGTGCACGTTTAAACCCTTTGTGCACTGCATCTTTTACCATCTGACAAGGGTGGAACCAGTACGTGCCGTTGGCGTCTGTGTCGCTCAAAAACAGCATGAACAACGGCCCCATGCTCTCCACATCGTACTCTCGGACAAACTTGTGCGCCTCCTCGAAACCCCGCACCACGTACTGCGTGTGCGCGTGAGAGCGGTCTCTCTGCACTGCCAGAGCAGCATCAGCAGCTCGAAGGAGCTTGGCGGCTGCATCTTTAGCATTTGCGGCCTCGATCTCGTCTGAGGCGGGGGACACGACGGTCTCTGCTGTGAACTGCCACATATACGACACGGAGAGGAACATGGTGACGGACAGTGCCAGCTGCATGAAGCGCACGGGGTTCATGGGCCGTCCTTTCGGCTCCTCGCGACTCGCTGCCTTCATCTTCATGGAGGGCACGCGGCGACAGATTGGGAGAGTGCGATTCTGGTGCGCCAAGAGCTGGTACGCTCGAGCAGCGGAATAGTGCAACGGCGACGTGTTATGATTGGTCGAAAGATTCAACAAAGTAATTTGATTGGATATAAAGAGAAAGGTAGTCAGAAATCTGATTCTGCTTAGCAAAATGCCTCTCAATGTCACTGCGCGGCGTAATGCTATCAGTAGTATATCATTTAGTGACTGCGTTGGGTGTGTTCTTGCGAGGGCAGACTCTAGTCCTCAGAAAAGTGCTCCGGATACTACCGTCTTACCCCGCATATAAGGCATTTGTGCTGTAAATGAATACAACACTGCTTGTGTGCTAACAAATTGTTTGACTTTGAAGAAGCAAGTTTGTGGGTCCTGGAATCTGGCTTGGCCGTTTAGGCTTGACCCTCCTACGCGATCGGCGTGGGTTCATGGCTGTGTAAATTATAAAATAGGAGAATTAAAGCCAAGTAACAGCGGCACCGACAAGTTTGTTCAGAAGGGTGTTTGGTTGGGAGCTCTCAAGAATATTCATTGTTTGGTACAGCCTTGTGTTTTAAGTAGGCTTCAGCCACGTGTGTTCTAATTAGGTAGGTGGTCAAATCGAGGTTTAAGCCGTCGAGCGAATCCCGTATTTTATTATATGCGGGTAAGACGGTAGCTTTTTATTCGCTGAAATATCCTTTTGGCACCTCTTCATTGGTTGAAAAGGGATCTTCTATAATAACGATAAAGACAGCGCAAGTCTCACATCGATATGGGCCGGAAGAGCGCCTTGGCCGAGTTGCTGGCCGACCATCGGCGGCAGGAGGCGGATGATGAAGCTCCTTCCGGCACGGTTGACCACGAAGCACCTTCATCTGAGCTTCCTCTTATTGTCGCACCGCCTACGAGCACCAACCGATCAGCAGAAGCCGCGCAACCTCAAGCATTCCAACCCCGATCATCTTCATCTCATTCTAGAGGCCGTCACGAGCCGGACGCAAAGTGCCGGATGGAGCGGGTATACGAAGAGGTATCACGCCGGAAATCTCAAGTGATTGCAGCCCCCGCAGCTCCGCGTGGATCCTCCGAGACGGACAGTAGTGCCACGCCACCGTCGGATACAGCTCTCCCAAAGACCGCAACCGAGAATGAAGGACTTCGCTGCACCCATCACGCTCAAAATGAGGCTGGTAATGCTGATGAGAGACCAGATCCTTGCCATTTTCTTCTGCCACGACCTAAAGACAGGAAACGACCTCGAGGAGGCAAGAAGCGGGTGGGTTTTGCTACAGCTGAGTCTGGATCATCGTCCAGTCACACTACAAGCAATGCACATATTGATATATTCAGTGCTGAAGGCTATCAACACAATGAAGACCGAGATGAACGTCAGCAAAGGAGAAGAGAACGACAAGAAAGAAGACGACGAAGACGCGAGAAGGCCAGTCGAAAATCCAGTAATGACGACGATAAAGGAGCGACGCTTTTGGATGTGGACGACGCTACTGTTCAGTATATCGACGCTGTATTGGTGAATCCAGACCCACAAGTGTTTAACAAGTACACGAGGTTTTTCTTGGACCCGAAGCTGGAGACGTTGTACCAAGATTTCACTGCCATCTACTGGTTTGGACGTGCGCGCTGGCATGTGGCTCTGTGGATGGCTGTGCATTTGTTCGTCAACCTCGTCTTCTACGCACTCCCGAGCTCCGGTTTTACTGGAATGGAACAGTTCGTTCTCTCGTACGATTCGTTGCCCACAATTTTCCAGTGGATCTACATCCCCATCGCTCTACCGTTTGCTGCTCTACCGAACAAGTACAACCCGTTCCAGACACGGTGGCGCAGCTGGGTGTGTCTTATTATCATCTTCTTTAACCTGACATTCCAGGTATGGCTGGCCGACGCCAGTCGTCTAGCTATCAACAACTACGCTATTGTCGTCGATGACTATCTATCATGTGAAGCCTCGAGTCCAGAACTCACGTCTACGTTTGCTGGGCTGAATAGCAGCTTAAGTGACAGTGGAGACTTGAGCAATGCTACAATCAATAACGCACTGGCATATCTGGACGACCAGCAGACGAATCTGGCCATCAGTGTGACCCACATGTGCTCCGATGCACTGGTCCAGACACTCGTGAGCTTCGCGTCGCTATTCAGTTTCCTGTTCGTGATTTCTATCCGTCTGGAATTCGTTCAAGTCGTCGTTGTGGGCGTCACTGGCGCTGCTATCTACGCCATCGTAGTGACTGCCTTTGGTCTTCAGTTACAGTGGCTTATCACGTTCACGTACGGCATGGCGGTCGTGCTGTTGCTCATTTTATCGTACTCAACAGACCGTACTAACCGCAGATCCTTTCTGTCGAATTTCTTGGTGGAAAAGGAGAACGAGAATCTTAAATCGTCACTTAAACAAGCGGAAGCTGCGCTACAGAACGACGCTGCTCATGCCGATGAAGAGCGTGCAGTGGCGCGTGTGTTAGCCGCGCCAGAGATGCGTCACCTCGAGATGGTCCACATCCCCTTCGCCGACCTCACTTTCCTACAGGCTATCGGTCGTGGGTCCATGGGCGACGTCATCAAGGCGAGATACTTCGGCACCGTTGTTGTCTGTAAGCGTATGCGTCGAGAACACATCGTCGAGTCTACTGGTAGTCACAACCGCAATGGGAACAGATACGCGTCTAACGGGGACAGCGCCTTGGCGAGTTTCCGAGACGAGATCGAGCTCATGTCGTGCTTACGTCATCCGAATATCGTGCAGTTTATCGGTGCGAGTTGGGACAACGCGTCGAATTTGTGTATTGTGATGGAGTATCTGGAGAATGGCGATATGCACAGTGTGCTGCACTCAGGACTGGGCAAGAACTTCACGTGGGCGGATCCGTTGTTAAAGATGGCGGTGGATGCTGTACAGGGAATGCTCTATCTTCACTCGCAGGAACGTCCGGTCGTGCATCGAGACCTGAAAAGCGTCAACATTCTGTGTTCCGCTACATTCGGCTGCAAAGTGGGCGACTTTGGGCTCAGTCGCAGATACAAAAAGGATGTCGACGCCCTCACGACGCTTGTTGGTACTCCGTTCTGGCTCGCTCCGGAGATTATCCGCAGTGAGCGATATGGACCCGAAGCCGACGTCTACTCGTTCGGCATTGTACTTACGGAACTTGAAACGCGACGTACTCCGTATCATGATTTGGAGCAGACCGGATTGAAAGTACTGATGCGTGTGGCGCACAAAGGGTTGCGACCGTCGTTGCCCTTTAGTTGTCTGTCTGAACGACGGAAACTTATCGAAGATTGCCTTCGTGATACGCCCGCACATCGACCAACATTCGCTCAAGTTTTGTCGCGCTTACAAGGTCCTGTACTTCTTGAGATCGAGGGCCACGTTGCAGCGCAACCTGAACTTGAACGACGTGTGTTACTTCGTCGATATCAAGAACGTCGGAGTCTCTAAACTCAAATTTCTGAATGAAAAAACAAGAACATTTCTTGATGTACATGACTCCTTTGAGTCTTTACTGGAGTGCGTCGTATTTCCTGTCTCCGTAGGTTTCTCGGTGCAATTCACGCGCATCCGATGCGACCATTTCAGCCACGAGTTCTCGGAATCGTATTGTTGGCTTCCAGCCAAGTTTGCGCTGGGCTTTGGAGGCGTTGCCACATAGAAGCTCCACCTCTGCGGGTCGGAAATACACTGGATCGACCCGAACGACCACACGCTGCACGTCCGCGTCGTGTGGTTCGTCACCGTTAGCGACGACTCCAACTTCGTCCTTGGAGCCTCGAGGGCCCTTCCATGCGATCGTCAAGCCTACGTGGGTAAATGCGAGCTCTATGAACTCCCGCACACTGTGACACTCGCCCGTGGCAACCACGAAATCCTCAGGAGTGTCGTGCTGTAGCATTCGCCACATACATTCCACGTAGTCTCGAGCGTGGCCCCAGTCGCGCTTGGCATCGAGGTTGCCTACGAAGAGGCAACTTTCGATGCCAGCGCGAATACGCACCACCGCTCGAGTGATTTTACGAGTGACAAAAGTAGGTCCACGTCGAGGACTCTCGTGGTTAAATAGAATCCCGTTAACGGCGTACATTCCGTAAGCTTCGCGATGGTTTATTACACTCCAGTAAGCGAACTGCTTTGCCACTCCATACGGTGAACGCGGATGAAATGGCGTGCTCTCGTCTTGTGGGGTGGCTAGTACTTTACCGTACAGCTCACTTGTAGACGCTTGGTAGAACCTCGTGGAGTGCTCGAGACCACAAGTTCGTAAGCTTGTGAGCAGTCGGAGAGCGCCTATAGCATCGACGTCTGCAGTGTATTCGGCCAATTCGAACGAGACTTTGACATGGGACATTGCTCCCAGGTTGTACACCTCGTCTGGACGGACACGTGCAACGATCTGGCACAAATTCGACGAGTCGGTGAGGTCTCCGTAGTGCAGGAAGAACCGGACGCCGTGGTCATGCGGATCTCGGTACAAATGCTCTAGTCGTGCCGTATTGAAGTTCGAGGACCGACGAACGAGTCCGTGCACCGTGTAGCCTTTGGCTAGCAACAGTTCACTCAGATACGAACCGTCCTGCCCCGTGATTCCTGTGATCAGGGCTACGCGAGGACGATCCGGAGTCCCGCAACTGTCTGTGGCGCTGCTCTCGCTGGTGGTGCTCGCCTGGTCCATTGCAGACTCGTTGTCCGTGTGCGGTGAGTCCAAGTTGTAGGTGCGTGGAGAGGTATCGATAGACTCGCGGGTCATGGTCGACTTGTGTGCCTTTGACTTGGATCGGTGTTGTGCCCTTTGACACGGTATCTTTCTATCGATAGTTGAAGCAACACTTTTATCTTTCGATTTGTAAGGCTTTTTACTGAACACGTAGTTTTCACCAAAGATCTCTTGCTCTCAAGCTGCTTGCTGCTCCATACGCAGCATGAGCAGTAAGCTAGGATAAAAACTCAACTTCCCTAATCCATTGGCAAGTTACGTGACGTAGTTCATCATACTTCCAACACTACAGTAGTGCTGGGACGTGATTCCAATTGAAGTCATTCAGGAGATGCGGTGATTGGCTGTGTCCTCCACCCTGTCCACTTCACCGATTGGTTGAAAGTTTTGTTGAAATCATTGGCGCTGGTGCCGGACGTGCCGAGCGGCATGAACCGACACTTCCTTCACTTGGGTATTTACCCCGACCTAATCCTCCCGATTTCAAAACCATGACCTCCACTGCAACCGTCGACCCTGAGCTTCTGGACGGGCGCTCGGCCATTGACATCTTCGTCAACAAGAACCAGGGCCAAGGCTACACGTACGATGACCTGATCCTCATGCCGGGCCACATCAACTTCAGTGTGGACGCTGTGCACCTGGACACCAAGGTGTCGCGCAACATTTCGCTGCACCTGCCTCTTGTGTCTTCGCCCATGGACACTGTGACGGAGCACGCTATGGCCATCGGCATGGCGCTGCACGGTGGTATCGGTATCATCCACTACAACATGACCGTGGAGGAGCAGGTTAAGGAGGTGCGTCTGGTCAAGAAGTTTAAGAATGGCTTCATCACGGACCCCAAGTGCCTCTCGCCCGAGGACACTCTTGCCGATGTGGACCGTATCAAGGCTGAGTTCGGTTTTGCCGGTATCCCTATCACCGAGTCCGGCAAGGTCGGCAGCGTGCTCGCCGGCATCGTGAGCAACCGTGACATTGACTTCATTGAGGACCGTCAGACCAAGCTTAAGGAGGTTATGTCCACCAACCTCGTGACCGCTCCTGAGGGTGTGTCGCTTACGGAGGCCAACCGTATTCTACGTGAGAGCAAGAAGGGTAAGCTGCCTATTGTCAACGCCAAGGGCGAGTTCGTGTCGCTCATCTCGCGTCGCGATCTGGTTAAAAACCGCGACTTCCCGCACGCCTCCAAGGATGCCAACAAGCAGCTGCTGGTCGGTGCTGCTATCGGCACGCGTCCCAACGACCGTGAACGTTGCACGGAGCTAGTCAAGGCCGGAGTGAACCTCATCGTCATTGACTCGTCGCAGGGCGACTCGACCTTCCAGGTTGACCTAATCAAGTGGATCAAGGTCACGTACCCCCAGATCGATGTGATTGGCGGAAATGTCGTCACTCGCATGCAGTGCAAGCGTCTCATCGATGCCGGTGCCGATGGCCTGAAGGTCGGCATGGGTGTCGGATCGATCTGTACCACGCAGGAGGTGTGCGCTGTCGGCCGCGCTCAGGCCAGCGCTGTGTACAACACCGCTCGTTACGCCCGTCAATTCGGTGTGCCGGTCATTGCCGATGGTGGTATTGCCAGCTCGGGCCACATCGTCAAGGCTCTGACTGTCGGTGCTTCGGCCGTCATGTGCGGCTCGCTCTTTGCCGGCACGGAGGAGTCTCCCGGCCAGTACTTCTTCCAGGATGGCGTGCGTCTTAAGAAGTACCGTGGTATGGGTTCTATCGAGGCCATGACTGCCGGCTCGTCGAAGCGCTACTTTGCTACCCACGCTGCCGTCAAGGTCGCCCAGGGTGTGAGCGGCGCCGTGGTGGACAAGGGATCGCTAATGCGATACGTGCCGTACCTGCAGCAGGGCATCAAGCACGGTCTGCAGGACTTGGGCCAGGTGAGCCTCGAGGCCGTGCACTCGGCGCTCCACACGGGCGAGCTGCGCTTCGAGCTGCGTACACCTGCCGCTCAGCGTGAGGGCAACGTCCACTCGCTGCACACGTACGAGAAGCGTCTGTTCTAAGCAGCACCCGCGATTTTCTCGAGTTTGCTTCAGCATGACATTTGATGCAAGCAAGGTTTCTATATCTACAGTATATAGTGCAGTCACTGAGCATGACCATGACTCACATCGAGCTGCCGCTTGAGCGAGTCGAGCCGAAAACTGCATGGTAATGAAGGCCAATACATAGACATCCTTTGGTGATTCGAAACTTTCCTTCTTTTAAATTTCTGTCCATTGAAAAATACCTGTCAACTTCAACGTGAGGCAAGGGAATGGTGGTTTATACATTTACCAATAATAATTAAAACCGGTTTACCGACTTCGTATTGGTATGTACTCCTCCTCTGGCTTCACATTTGGAAGAGCAAGCTGCAAGCAGACATGAACCTCTCCTTGTCCCTTTTTGATTCGAGCTGACGGTCATCGCATAAGCTCTCATTAATGTATTTGTTCATTTGACCCCAGAAATGTTGTTAATTTGTGCCGGTTTGCATTGCAACTCGATCAACAATGTGTGATTGTCGCTTTCATTGATCATACTATTAATACTACATGTACCTGCATAGTATTCTGAAATTTGCCATCGACCTAGCATTCCATACAACGCTTGCTCGATCAGAAGATATCACGCCGGACATCTTGGAAGCCAATCAATCGGCCAAGTTTGCTGCTGATATCCTCTTCCTTGGGAGGGCTGGATGGGATGACTTCAGGTTCGTTGCCAGGGAAGCAACTCCTTAGCTCTGGTAGAAGATCACCAAACTCGCTGCTGTCACAAAAGCTAAGAGAGCTCTTTCGTCCACCCAGCGCCTTTGCAGCTTCGACCATCGGAAACGACGTGAGCACCAGGCGTCGCACTGCCGCTCGCAACGTGCCGTGCTTGAGCCCATCAGCTCGACACACTAGAGGGAGCCAATCGCCACACGCTTCGTTCACAGGCATCGCTAGACTGAGATGCACTTCGCCAAGGTCTCGTTCATCCCCACCTTGCACAAAGATGTCAACTGTACGCTGTTCAATGGTAGGAGACGAGGGCATCCAGAAGACGAACCGTTCGTTGACTGCACAGTTGCTTCGGTCCGCAGGGCTCGTCTTGCGAGTCATAGGACCGAGCTGCATTGTGACGGTGAACGGCAGATCGGTACCAGTTTCGTCTCGGTCAACAGCTAAACCACGAGCTTCCAGAATGTCAACGACGATTAATTCACCATAGGGGCTTCCACATGAGATAGAATTGGTTCGACACCGAGTGGATACGTTGTGCACGTTGTTGATGGCGTTCTCAGCTGCTTCTCGAGGAGGCTGAGCTGACGTTAAGCTTACCGACGCGAACGGGAAGGAACTCGTTGACGACGTGCTATCCGAGCGTGAAGTTCTCCACGCAGTCGGAATCGGAGGCGCAAACGAGAATAGTGTTGGTCCTGAGGACGTCGACGCAGACGGAGGTTTGTTCGGGAAGACACAGGCGTCAGAAAAGGTCCTGAACATGGAGGTCACGGGGTTTGAAGAAGGCTTTTCAGATAGCGACTCGGGCGACGACGACGGGGACGCATCGGATGCAGAAGTAGACGACGAAGATGCGGGAGACACTGGAGTGGCGTCGTCAAGTGTTGGCTTGGAGACTTCCTGCTCCATTGCGTATCGGTGGAAGTCTTCATCGAGTGTAGGTGTGTGTGGCGTCTGTGATGCGGTTTTATTGTCAACGACAGATACACGGTATTCGTCACCGGAAATCGTCGCCTCTTGGCTGCAGGCTCTGTCGCTGCTTTTCGAGCGATTGATCCGCGTCTGCCACAGGCTTTTGACACGCTTGAAGTCGGTGCCCAACATGATCACTAGCCGCAACTAACCTTGGCAGCGAGTGGCCTGCTTGTGGTTTGTTGCTTTGCGTTGTGCCGCCTGGCCACTTTGACCTTCATGTCAATCCAATGCATTATTTACTCACGAATGCAGAGGTACGGGATGACCTTACTACTGGCAGAGGCTTGGCTTAAGGATGCCACCTGGTTCCTCCGGCTTCACCTTCTGAGCCCTCGATTTTAGCTCTTCTATTGATATTTTATCCAGGCAATAAATTCGGAGTGACAACAGGACTTGGAATGGAACTGAAAATCTATACCACCCAACACATGCACTAATACTACAGTTCTCTACCTTCGAATCGGCCGAATCTATCTCGCTTTCACCATTTTCAACTGATCTTCATCGAACATTCGTATAGATTCTCACAGGTAATCTGAATTTTACGAAAACTTAAACGACACTAAACGTCAGCTCTACGCCTCCTGTCGGCAGCTCTTGATAACAAAATGGCTCTCCAGCTCAAGACGTGCCATACTTCCGCACGTACTCGTCCATCGGTAGGAAACAAAACTCGGCCTCTCCGTCCACGCCGCGCCAAACCTTGACGATCTCTGCCAACTCCATCTCGTACACCGGCAGTCCGTTCACAGCGACCAGCACGTCGCCGACGTTGATTGCGCCGCTCTGTTGTGCCTGCTCTCCAGGGACCAACCGATGGACAACCACCACGTCTGCTGCAGAATGTTTGGAGAACTCGATACCAAGTTTGCGTTTAGAAGACAGCACGACTGTGCACGCCGTAAGGAGGGAGCGAATGTATTCCAGCGCGATCTCCAGACACGTGACGAAGTACGCGATCTCTCCTTGGCTGCCGGAATCGAAGAACGTGATCATCTCTTTCAAGGCTACAGGGTCGCGTAGATGCGAGTGGATAAGCACGTAAATGAAGGCCGGGATGAAGGCGTCAGCGCTCATAGGCGGCTGCGTGGGGTGTTCGTTGTGGTAGACGGCGTAGATCTCCTTGCATGCAGCCAGCAACTGCAAGCGTTTCATGTACGGGAGACTCACCTTGTCAACTTCCCGGAGCTTGGCACAAGCAGAAAACCATTTGCTGGACGACTCGCTGTCAGGTCCAATACCGAAGAATGCTTGCGACTTACTGCGCAATATTTCGATCTTCCCTTTCAATACTTTGGCATCCTCTCGAGTCTGTGCACGCACGTTCGTTAAGATCGCGCGATACAAAGGGAAGAAGACACGCTCTTCAATATGTTCATGGACGATCGTCTGGATGCTGTTCGTGATCTCACTGATGACCATAGCATCTTGTGGACGCGCTGGATTAACGTCTTTAACTCGGTCGTCGTCGGAATCGCTGTCCGAACTGGTATCTGGCTGCGCAACACCAGCAAGCATCTGGAGCTCCTTCAAACGCGTGTGGACCAAATAATCTGATAGCCCAGTCATGAACTCCCGCACCGTTGCGTTGGAAACGGGTCGGCCTGAATGTTCCTTGAGGAATGCAGCGGATGTGCAGCCTTCAGGTGAGTACGGAGAGGCCAATAGAAGCTGCACTTCGCGTGCTACGTCCATCATCGCGTCTTCCGTCTTTGAGATAAACGACGACATACAACGCCTGCACACTCCGTCGACTGCGGCACCGCCTTCATCCAGCGCGCCACACTTGCACATGCGACCAATCTCCGATGCACTTGTAGGCATAGAAAAATCATTCGAATCGGGTTTTGCAGGTGTACCAGCTAGCGTTGTGATGGTACTACCCTCACCAACCGAAGCGAGTGCAGCCAGCCACAACGAACGCTCTTCTTGGCTGTCGGCATGCAGGGACAAGTTGCGACTGGGAGTGCAGATCTGGAAGCTGTGTCGTTCTCCTGTCTTGAGGGTGTCCACAGGAGACACCCGCGCGTGGGAGATGTCGATCGAGCCTTTACGAGAGCCTCCCTGCGGGTGTGCAAAGTACGAAAGTGTCGTGTTTGAGAGCTCGAACCAGCGACGCTTTGTTGATTTAACCATCCGACCACGCTTACGCAGCCAACCGGAGAAGAGGACGGGGCCTCCTTTGTCAGCGTTGTCGCTATTCTGCTTCATAAGTTTAGCAGTCTTTGCACCCTCAGGTAGTACTTGTACATTGTGTTCTTGTAATTTACGGATCCACAAGTCGCGGTCGTGGTTGTCTAGGGCGTAGAGCACCATACCGTAGCTGCCCCCCTGGGAGAACTTGAAGCCACTGTGTAGCATACACTGGACGGTGCTCTTACGCGTGAGATCCAGGCGACCACGCACCTCTGTGGCGTCGTGTGTGTCGTGATAGATAAGCTCGTTGTCCACTATACAGAACAGTCGACGCTTGAAGTTACGCAGACCGTGGCCACGCTTGATAAGCCAGCCAGAGTGACGCACTACGGGCTTGTATTCCAGCACCCAGCGTCGACTCTGTGCGCTGGTGGGCGTCGGTCGTGTACTGCTGCCTCTTGACTTGACCATCGTACTCGTAGCACGCTCTGTCCACATCTCGATATCCCTGTAAAGACATCATCCATTTCTCACTTAGACTAAAGACCTTTGATGCCGCAGGGGAGCAAGTAGGTACTGAACGTACCGTTGGCTGGGGCGAGTCACTAGCACGACACGTCTAGATTCACGGATATTGTCCTTCGGTTGTAAGGGGTTGTCTCCCGGTTCTGGGTATCCTGGTCCCGTAAAGTCCGCGATCTCAGGCTCTTCGGGCAGTTCATTCGACTCTGCAAGGTTTATGGACTCGTCGAGCTGCGCAACAGCCTCGATAGCTCCAGCTTCGTTATCCTCCACCACTGGGGATGGAGAGTCTGCCGCGTCCAAGCTGCAGCGCATCGTCCGCGTACTACCATCGTCACCTGAAGACGACGATGCGATTAAACAGGGTCTGCGTCTCTCACTGGGCTCTCGGCCGTCAATATCCTCCTCGTCTTCGCTATCGTCGTCGATTTTGATCTCCTGACCGTCCACGAACTCCTCGTCACTGTCCTTGTCGATGTTAATCTCCACGCCCAAGCGAGACCGTGTGTCTTGCCTACTAACTGTGCGTTCGGCGCTTGTATTTGCGTTCTCCTGCTTCTGCTTCGGCGCGTCTTTCTGTTTCTGTTTGGTGCTGTCCTGTGGACTCGGCAATGGCGCTGTGACTGCCTCCTGCTCCGGTAGACTTAACAGGCTGCGCGCGCTGCCGTTTTCGTCGTCGCCGCCCTCGTTCACCGTCTCGCGCAGCCGCAGTCGGAATACCTCGATACTCTGGCGACGCCTGGTACGCATCGTCATCGTTGCCCCTAGAGAAAAACGCGGGGAATATCCTCAGACAGCGCGTTACGAACACCCCGTGAGTCACCCGCGCTGCTGTTGCCGTCGGACCGGCGTTCCGAATACAGAGCCCAGTGCACGGACTGTAGCCAATCGCAACCAGGTGGATTGGGGGAAAGTTTGTGGCGGCGGAGAGTTGTAGCGTTATTTAACGTTTTTAAGCGGCTTTTTCACGTTTCATTAAAACGCCATGTCCTCATCAACTTCGACCGTTTCGACGATGAATAGGCTGAGTGCAAAGGTAAATACTCATCAGGTTCGTCGAAACCAAATACTTGTTATCGCTAGCGCAGTAGCGACATCGAGCACGCGCGGTATTGAAGTCAAAGTCCTGAGTAACATGTACATGTAATAATACCAGCACCGGTACAGTACCACCAACATAAAAACGATGCTAAACTCTAACGGCGTTTTAACACGCTTCATTAATCGAAGTGACCAAGAAGTTTTCGCATTCCTTGGATAGACATATTCGAGTCTACGTTACAGCCAGTGGACACTACATTGCAGTGTACTATGGCTGTGGTGTGCGAAACGAGAAGTGCTCGGACATGACGATGACATGATCATCTCTCCAAGTGCTGAAATCGGCAGCAACAAGAACTTATAGCCAAAAAGAACTCGACGGCTGTTGAAACCGCAGGAAAAAGCGTCACGAAGGATTCGACAGGTAATTTCGAACGCCTGGACAATCGAGCATGAGCGAGTTGTGGGCGAGGTTTCAGGCCATCGTTTAAAAGTTGGAGATCATACGGTGGTTTTTATCGGCGTTGCTTCACCGACAGGGTGGCAGTACCATGAAGTACTGCCTACACTGCTATAATCTAATAACGAAGATATAAATAGTTGACCCACCACAGCAACTCATTACCGTAAGCTCTGTTAATACGCACTGAAATAACTCGCTATCATAGCGACACGCTTCATCTTGAAACTTTCAGGCAAGCAAACAGCACAGATAAACGTGTAAGATTATTTAAGAAAGTTGAGAAGCACCATTAGTAGTATCTTAGTAATGAACTGGCCATGTGGGCTTTGGTCTGGCAGTTCATGTATTAATAGCAGGAGGGACGTAATGGGGATACACCTCGACATCAGCGTTTTATAACAATACGCATTGCCGGCGAACTTGAGGCAAATGCCGCGGTGATCAGTGCGCTTTTGTTTTGATTTCTTACAACAAGTTCAGCCAACGGTTAAATCGGCCGTTGGTGCGACACATACACTCGGGTAGCAGTACGGCTTCCGCGGTACTGTTAGTCTGCATGCCTTAATCGGTTCAGCATAATGCGCGAAGGCTCTGTAGTCGTCTCGATAGCGACTGGCAGGGAGGGGGCACAACGACTCAGGCTTGCCACAAGAACGAGATGCTGGTGTTTGTGCAAGCAGGACGACTTCAACTTGCTTTCGTAGACGCTGCCATGTACTTCGGTGCCACTTGTGGGCTTAACAGCCGTGACCATGCCGTGTCGACGCCTGCGGCTCCTCTTGGACCTGAAAACACCAGGCTCGCAAACGGTTTTGCATGTTTCACGTGAATACCTTATGCAGGTGTCGATTTATCAAAAGAGGAGCAACCAAAATAAGTACTTCGAAGTACGTCTCGAAAATGCATTTTTTTTAGCTTAGTAGGAGAGTGGTGTCTTCTGCCGCAGAATCTGCGGGCTTCACGGTCGTTACGGCCTTACCACAACGCTTATGATTTAAAGCGGATTGGGTGGACTCCTACAGCAGAGAAACAAACAAAGTACTGAGATAGCTTTGCAGTGCATCAGTAGTCATTGCGACTCACCGCACACCTGGCGCTAGCTTCAACATCATCTACCAGCAACTTCCACGCCGACGCGCAATATCTGTAAAACCCGACGTGACTTCAGTTGAGTATGTTTTCTACCCAAAAGGCGTAGTGACACCCGTGCGTATGCGGCGCTACTTTCAATTTTCGTCCAATACCCGCCATCTAAACCTGGCTTTTTAACCGATTGTGCGACGGGTCTCCTCGACTGAGTCACTAAAGATTGCTTGCTTATTTCCCAATTTGCCGCCCGCCACCGAAGCGTTCGCAGCTAAGCCTCGCAGCCATGAGCTCCCCACACGTCCGCATCAGCCAGATCGCCAGCCACCTGAGCTCGCACGACCCGCGCGCCGAGGAGAGCGACTACGCACAGCGCGTCAAGCAGACTGAGGCATTTATCCGCGACGAGCGCTTTCAGTACGTGAAACGCCCGTACGGCGCCGAGGATGTTGTCAAGCTCCAGGGTACCATCCCCGCCGCCAACGCCGGCGCTGCCATGTCACGCAAGCTATACAAGATGCTGCGCGAGCTACAAGCTGCCCAGAAGACGAGCCACACTTTCGGCGCGCTGGACACGATCCAGGTGACGCAGATGGCTAAGCACTTGTCCTCCATCTACGTCAGCGGCTGGCAGTCGTCGTCCACGGCCTCCACGTCAAACGAGCCTGGCCCGGATGTGGCCGACTACCCCATGGACACAGTACCCAACAAAGTGGACCAGCTCTTCCGCGCCCAGCTCTTCCACGACCGCAAGCAGTACGAGGCTCGTCGCCGCATGACGGCCGAGGAGCGCGCACGCACGCCACCTACGGACTTCTTGCGTCCGATCGTTGCTGATGCCGACACTGGTCACGGCGGTCTGACGGCCGTCATGAAATTGACCAAGATGTTCGTTGAGCGTGGTGCCGCTGGCATCCACCTCGAGGACCAGAAGCCCGGCACCAAGAAGTGCGGCCACATGGGCGGCAAGGTGCTGGTCTCGGTGCAGGAGCACATCCAGCGTCTCATCGCTGCTCGTCTTCAGGCTGATATCTTGGGCAGTCCGCTGGTCATTGTAGCTCGTACAGATGCAGAGGCTGCTACTCTTCTGGACAACAACATCGATCCGCGTGACCACCCCTTCATCATTGGAGCTACCAACCTCAACGTGGAGACATACATTGACGCCACTCGTGCTGGTCGTGAGGGCGACTGGGACAAGCGCGCCCACGCCATGACGTACCCGGAAGCGGTCCGTGAGGCTCTGAAGAAGTCTGGCCGCTCGGATGCCCTGGCTAAGTGGAACGCCCAATGCTTGGAGCTGAGTCTGCCCAAGTTGCAGGTGTTGGCTAAGTCACTCGGCGTCAACATCGCTTTTGACTGGGACCTGGCTCGTACGGTGGAAGGATACTACCGCGTGCGTGGCGGTGTGGAGTACTGCATTGCTCGTGGCCGCGCGTACGGCGAGTACGCCGACCTGATCTGGATGGAGACGGCCAAGCCGGGTGTGCCGCTTGCGCGCACGTTCGCGGAGGGGGTCAAGGCCAAAATCCCGCACCAGATGCTGGCGTACAACCTGTCGCCGTCGTTCAACTGGGATGCTGCTGGCATGTCCGACACGGAGATTGAGACGTTCGTGACGGATCTTGGTCGTCTGGGCTTCTGCTGGATGTTCATTACGCTAGCTGGTTTCCACAGTGACTCGCTGGGCATCACGCGATTTGCGCGCGACTACGCCAAGCGCGGCATGCTCGCGTACGTCGAGGGTGTGCAGCGTGCCGAACGCAACGAAGGCGTGGAGACGCTCAAGCACCAGGGCTGGTCGGGCACTGACCTCGTGGACGCCATGCAGAACACCATTACCGGTGGGCTGTCGTCGACGAACACGATGGGCCACGGTGTCACGGAGGCACAGTTCTAAGCGAGCAAAATCCTTCGCCATAGGAGCCGCTGGCGTCGTGGGGAAACCTTTATTTTTCTATCTTGCGTGTGAATATTTTACCAAAAAATAAAAGGAGAATTACAAACCGGAAGAGTGCGTCAGTCTTAAATTTTCAACGCACTTCAGGAACGACTACATTAGTAAAAACTCAATTGTGAGCATCAGTGACAAGGAACTCCACCTTCCTGTGCAAGCAGTCTTGAGGATCGGCAATGATACGACCTGTGGACGAAATGGCGTTGGTGGAATGGTTCAGATCACGACGGATATCAGGTTGCTGCAATCTTGAAACACACAACACATTTTGAGAGCCCAAACGCCACCATGCATCATGTTTCATCTATTAGTCCACCCTGCTTCATGTCGACGCTCTAGTCTCTCGTACCTGCCTGCCGTTTCTCGATAGTGTATGCAAGGAAGCATAGTCTGCTCCGTCCGCTTACAACACTCCACAGCTGACGATCTCAATGTCCGTCAGCGGCTTGTTCTTCACAGCGTAGACGCTCTCAATATTCTTTAACACATTCTTGCCCTCCACGACCTTTCCGAAGGCAACGTTGCGGCCGTTGAGGTGGGGCAGCGGCTTAAGTGAGATAAAGAACTGCGAGGCGTTCTTGTTCAGGCCGGCGTTGGCCATGCCTAGCACGCCTTCTTCTGAGAACTGCAGCGCGTAGTTCTCATCGTCAAAGTAACGCTGATTTTCCTCCAGTGCAGCGTGGCCTCCCGTTCCGTCGCCGCTAAGCACGTCGCCGCCCACGATATACACGCCCTTAGTGACGTTGTGGAACTTGGAGTTCTTGTATGAGCCCGAGCCCAGAGCCTTGGACTTGAAGCCGTCCGTGCACATCTTGATAAAGTTCGTGGCTGTCTGCGGTACAATGTCCTTCGCCACCTCCACCACAATGCGTTCGGCCTTGGCGCCGCCAATACTCACGTCCAGGAAGGCGCGCGGTCGTGGCTGAGCAGGTGTGGGCACCACAACGTCGTAGGCCACAGGTGCCGCCTCGGGAGCGTTCATCTTTTCTAGCGAGCGATGGTACCATCCCCATCCACGAGCGCCTGCGCGCGACATGGTGTCGCCGGCGCCGCGTACCAGCTTCGATCGACCAAACGCAGACATTGTCGCTAGGCGTGCACCTCGAGCTTATTCCTTGTTCCCTTGAACGATTTCCAGCCAGACGCACAATCGTACTTAAATGGAAAGCTACACTCAATTTTTGACCTGACTTTAGTGTCATGATCATTTTGCGACATGTTGTGGAAGACAAGGAGAAGCGATCCAGCGGCGAGAAATGGCGAGAAGCAACCGACTGTTGCTCATAGGGGCGATCGTCACGGCAGCGCTGGTTCTCGTGCAATTTGTGCTGATTAGTGAAGAGTCCACGACGTATTTTGAGGAGAAGACGCTGCAGTTAGAAGCGAAAAAGACGCCTGTGTTCCGGCAGACGACGACGCTGCCAGTGGTGCTAATGCATGGCATGGGTGACGCTGCAGGGAACGGAGGAATGTTGCGGATCCAAAAGGTTGCAAATGGATGAATGGTTCGCTTTATGGAAATGGGTCGTTGACGATCTGATTCAATTGTGCGCTAGACGATCGCAGAGCATCTTGGAGTTTATGTGGCCAATGTGCAACTCGGCAACTCTGTGACCGAAGATGTACACAACAGCTTTTTCATTACGATGGATAACCAAACGGAGATGTTCGCTAAGATAGTGCGAGAGGTGCGGGGTGTCACTTTGTACAGGGACCGCTTTTTCACGGCTGCTCATTTTTTCGTATTTGTCTAATTAACAGGACCCGCACTTGGCGAATGGATTCAACGCTGCTGGATTCTCTCAGGTACGATAAGGCTGACTGAGAGTTGTTGGATTGCTTTTTGCTAATGCAGATACATGTTGTTATAGGGCAACTTGTTGATCCGCGCATACATCGAGCGGTTCAACGATCCTCCAGTCCACAACTTTATATCTTTTCATGGACCGCTGGCAGGTGTGGGTGGACTTCCGCGATGCTCTCCTCTTAACTTTATTTGCAAGGAAATCGATAAGGTTGGCGACGTGTATCGATAATTTGCGAACGCTAGCCTGTTGCCTGACAGTTTTTATTGCTGTAGCTTATTGGTGAAGCAGTCTACACCAAACGCGTTCAAGGTATAACAAAGCGTTCCTTTCGACTTGCTTAACAGCTGACAATTTGTATGACTTGCTGCAGAACGCATCGCACAAGCCAATTACTTCCGCGACCCTCTTCGCATCGATGCCTACTTGAAACACGGTATGGTTTGTACTTCTTGTTGGTGATACTTTGCTTTGCCTTAACAGTTTAACTGATGCAGCGGCGTTCCTACCCGACCTCAACAACGAGAAAACGTCTACGAACCAGACGTACAAGGACAATTTTACAAAACTGCAGAACCTTGTGCTCGTTCGAGCCAACAAAGATACGCAGGTATTTCCGAAAGAATCCGAGTGGTTCGGAATGTATCGCGATGGCGATTCGTACAAGACTATTCTCGGCTTTAACGAGACAAGATGGTATCAAGAAGACTTGTTCGGGTTGCAGACACTGGACAAAGCCGGCAAGGTGCATTTCTTGTCCACGGATGGAGATCATCTACGCTTCTCCATCGAATTTCTTTTGGGGGTGGTGGATAAGTACTTCCGCCCACACATTATGAGCAGCTAATAAAAGCATCTAGCTGAACCGAAATACAACTGAAGCATTAGTGAGTTTTACTTGTATGCAGTACGGGTGAATGTGATAACGCTAGAGAAGAATCCGAATGGATAGTTCAAAGGATGCAAGTCTTTATTGCACCTTGAAGTCAGAATCATTTTCAACAAATTGGCGCTCAGATACAGTCATCATTTCAGCGAATCAGGTATCTGTGGCTGGAACGCGTTCGCCCCATTTTCCAAAGGAAGAGCTGGGCAAAACTCAGACGCGAGACACTTCAAGACAGCGCGGCGCACCCAGCCCACCGACGTATTCAAAGCTCAGCACGAGACGCGCGAGATCAATCTGCGTCGGATCCCGAGTTTTGATCTTCCTTCCAGCGTATAGAAACGACAAACAATCCGATCAAAGTCGAACGTAGCTCTTTGCAAGCCAAGGCCTCCAGTTGTGCACTACCGCTGTAGTTTGTACCTTTATTTCAATATTTACACTGCAGTACGAGTCGAAATGACGTCAAGGGACCTAGTCGGACGCCCACTGGTGCCGTTCTTCGATGGCGACGACAATGTGAACGACGCACTGGAGCTGGCGGAAGGAGACGACGAGCATGAAGAAATGGACGTCGACGCGCGCGTCTGGGACAAAGAGCTTGGATACTTCGTGTACCCTTCTGAACAACAGGGAGCTGCAATTACACACCGAGAATCGAGGACAGACAGCGCCAGCAAATTGCTGCTCACGCCCTCCATGATGCTGTCCAGCAGCGCACCAGAACACTTCAACTCTATGGCTGCGAATGGAGACCCCGTGCGTGGAACCACAGGTATAGAAATTGCACAATTTGCCTTACATTTCAGCATTTTATTAGAACTGAAGCATTTAACTTGGTTTGAATGCATGTTTGCACTACGATCTTCGTCTCAGATGAGGCCTCTGCAAGCAGCAGCTCAGCAAAGAGGGGATCAAAGCAAAAGAGTCGATCCAGTACACCGGGACGGCGACGGAAGGACAAAGAAGAAGGAGAGGAGGCTGCTGCAACAAACGCTGTATCATTCAAGAAGGGCAAAAGCAAGAGTGCCAACGCAAACAACAGTGGCAACACCCAACAGGCGCGTAATGGAAAGCAAAAGGAGCAGCTATCAGCATCGGGCAAATGGGCCTGGTCGGCGTTCCAATCGTCGCCCGACCCGACTGAGTTGCCGATGCCACCGTTCCTCACTAAACCAGTGGGAGGCGTGGGTAGTGGGGATAGCTCTCCTCATGTTGTAAAGGCCCCAGCGCCTCCTCTTCCTCCTACACCGCCGCCTACTGAGCATGTGAATGTGCCCTTCGCACCGCCACTCCCTCCAGGGCCACCTCCTTCTCATCCACAGCAGCCTCCGTTGCCACCGATGCCTACGACACCCCCGGAGGCACAGACGTCAATCGAGTTATCGATGACTCAGGATCTTCGTAGAATGCTCAATATTGGCGGAGGCTAAGCTGTTAAACGGTGACCGGTGCGAGTGGTGCGAAATAGGTGAAAGCGAGTGAAAGTCTTGATCAGTGAGAGCGATCAAGCATTGTGGAGACAAGCGAAACAGCGAATGTAGCTGTCAGAATCAGTGAGAGTGATTTTATGGAAATTACTAAAGATGCGTGATCGTCATTGGGGGCTGGTGGCATAAAACGAATCGTTGCAAGCTATGAAAAGACAAGAGATAAATAGAAAGTCTCGCTTGTAAAAGCAGCAAACCACACGTTGGTTTATCTGTCGTAAAACATCGGAAATTCTAACATAGATGCAAAAAGCACCGTTTCAAACGGGGTCTGATACTTGTATCGAAACAGGCAACAGACCATCGAGCGAGTTTGACCAAACTTTCATCTGTAATCAAAACGTGCCGTCCCGATCTGGACTTTGGGAGACGTCTGTGTGGCACACGATTTGCCTTGCATTGCGGATTCCAGCATCGACACGATGAGCTTACCAGTAGCGACCAAACTTCGTTAGCGATCAAATCGTACCGTCCTGATCTGGACTTTGGGTCTGTGGCACGGATTCCGCTGTGCTGAATTCCACGGTGCTGTACCAGTAGCGACAAGCAAGGTCACGTATTTTGGGCCCCACATTCTTCACACCGGAGCCCAGCTTTTGGCTGAACCTAACTAAGACAAGGGTGTTAAACGCATAAATTTCTCATGCTTCAGTTGGGAGCTGTTTACCCAGCCGGCCATCATTAGTCAAAGCGAGCGTTTCTCTTACACTTTACTTCAGTATGCGTCATTATGGCGAGGGCGAACTGTGGCATTCGTTCCATGTGCGGCGTTTCGGGCATAACCTCTCTCAACTTCCAACCCCCATCCGGCGGCGCGCACGGCAAGACTCTTGCTTTAGCGTCTGGGACGCCGCTGGATCCGACTAAGACGCGCACGAGCAAAAACCCTTTGAAAGAGCACTTCCCCCGTCTGCCCAGCAGCTACACGCAAGTTGAAGTGGTCATCGATCTCGCCACCTCTGGATTCTCAATCGATGGAGATCGCCCCACGAGCGAGCGGCGGCGAAGTTTCCAACGCCAAGCGCAAACTCGAGAGTGCGCACTCGTTCTTCTCGCTCTCTGCGTCGTCGTCGCCTTCAGGGTCTCCGACCGCTGCCTCCAACAGCTACAAACCATTTCGAACCAACGCTGACGCGCTCCCACCAATCGATTCACATCCTAAAGTGCGACGCTGTTCTGCTGCGGGGCCTCTGTCCCTGACGCGTTGTTATTCTGACGGAAAAATGTAAAAACAAATACTGTATTTTCTCATTTCTCTTTTTTCTGATTGCGCCGTGCTAACTTTGCATGATGTTGCTGATTCGACTAGCTCGAAGGCGTTCGGCGAGTTGTTGACTGCAGAAGAAGCTGCAGACAGCCAGAGACTGGAGACGTCCAAGGTTTGTCCCACGTCCTCTGCATTGACGCTGCCGAGCACACCGTCCCTGACCAAGATCATTTCGCCGCGACCTGGCGTTTGTCTGTCGCCCGGTTTGCACCGCAATCCGTTTTTGGATGACGAAACTTGGCCACTAACTGTCCCTAGAGGTAAAGAGCATTTTTTTCATCAATCGAACGACCGGAAAATCCACTGGAAAATCTGGTGTCACATTGTTGCATGCATTTGACTGACGTACACTCTGGTTGTTGCCTTTGTCGTTTATGGCAAAATGTTCAGGTCCGACGTCGACATCACCGGCATTTGTCACCAAGAGCTACAACAACAACACGACACCTCGGAAGACGAGTGACAGCTGTGCTCTGTTTACTCCGCCGACGCCCAACAAGCGAGTGTGCAGCCAGCAAGGCTTTACGCAGAGCAAAGCTGGCGCCACCGCTTCGTCGGGTAACTGGGCGCCTTCTCTTACACAGGCGAGAAAGCGCTCTCTGGGGGCGTCGGATGGCTCTCACTTCGCTAGTGCGTCTCCCTCGGACAAGCGAGCTTCGTTGTCTATTGACATGAACTTGGAAACTCGAAGCAATGTCCTCCCCGGAGCGTTGTCCTCCTGTTCGTCTTCTTCGTCGACTCCGCCAGTCTCGGTGCTGTCCCGAAACAGTGCTAGTGTACCGAAGAGAATGTACCCACCTCAGCGTCGTAGTCGCAACCCAGGCAACTTGTCGTTGGATTTATCACAAGTAGACCAAGCCAATCTCGACCCAAACACCACAACAACTGGTGCTACCAGGCGACGCAATGACCAGGCTGCTGTATGCTCCAAGTTGACGGATTTCCTGTACATTGGTGGTGCGCTCGCTGCTAAAAACAAGTCCATGTTGCTCCAGAACGGCATCACGCATGTCATTAACTGCGCGGCCAGTGTCGCTCCGGCCTCGTTTCCGGACGAGTTTTGCTACTTCAACATCAGACTGCGCGACCATTCGTCGCAAGATATTGCCCGACACTTTTACAGCATGTTTGACTTTATTGAACGTGCTCGTGAAAGCGGTGGGCGCATCTTCTTGCATTGTATCAAAGGCATTTCTCGCTCTCCGACGATGGCCATCGCGTACTTGATGTGGTACAAGAACATGGGCATGTACGAGACGCTGGACTTTGTGCGTCAGTCGCGTCCGATCGTTGATCCCAATGCTGGTTTCATCTTTCAACTGACCGAGTGGGAACAGCAACACCCGCAAGGACGACTCAAGTTCCAGCGCACGATTGTGTTCCGGATGGCATACACCGATAATGTTGACAAGGGCAACAATATGGTGGCTGCGAAGAACCCGTTGTTCGTGGGTCCTTTGCCGAGTATCAGCGATAGTTTCTTCCGTGATCCGACCAAGGACGTTGGGGAGTTGAGCTTGATCGTAGCATGTGCTGACTACATGTTCGTGTGGTGTGGAACCGACGTCGATGAAGATCAAGTGGAAGTGGCCGAACGTGGGGCGCAGATCTTGCAGCGCTACGAAGCCTTCCCAGCTAAGTGTGACACTGTGAGGCAAGGCCAGGAACCGGTGGCGTTTTGGGACCTCGTTGGCGACGATATTTGAGAATGTATTACAGAAGAACGCGTTTTAGCGGAAAGTTACGGTCGTAGGTAGGAACTTACATGTTAATCAGGATATGAGAGTCTTCGCAATTGATACAAACAAAGTTGACGATGTTGCCTTTTAGTCTCCTTTAATGTTACAAGAATTGCATGCAAGTAACATTTTGCAATGCACCGTTTTGAGCTCCATTCCTTTCCTGACAGCTACGTACAGTGAGCGTCTCAGAGGAGATTACGACTTGCCTTGCGTTCCGGTGCGTGTTGGATACGTAACTTTGTGCTATTCCAGGTCCATGATTGGTGGCCGGTATCTTGCACGAAGCGGTGGTGGCGATTGGCTGCCTTCAGAGTCTGAAGGCCAGCAGATTAGGCAAGAGACCAGTTGCAACTCCCAGCACATCGTCTATTTCCCTCGTTCCGAGCCACACACTAAGGCAACAGGACAAGCATGGCGACTGCCGGCAGCTCGAACGCGACGCTGCTGCTTGTGACGGGGCTCGTTAGCGTCGGAATGGCCGCCATCGGCTTCTACTACCTCCAGATGAGCAGCAAGAAGCCGTCCGCCAATGATAGCGAGACTGGCAACAGCGTTGCCACCACTTCCAGCTCGACGATTAATACAAACAAGGAGACTGTGGCTGTTACATCCGTCGTAACACTAAAGCCAACTCCTCCTAGTCCGAAAGAGAGCTCTAAGACGATAGAGAAGATTGTCAAGTCGCCGATTAAGGAAGTGGAGCCTCCCGTCGCTGCGCAATCCCCGATAAATACTGCTTCGAGTCCGAAGTTGGAGGTTGCAGCTAGTCCTACGAAGGAGATTGCTGTCAGTCCTAAGGAAGAGACTCCGAAGAGCAGTCCGAAAACGGAGGTGGAACCTCCGGCTCTAGAGCTCCCCAAACCAGTCCACGCCAGTCCGAAACAAACCCCGCAGAGCCCTAAAAAGAATACTGACGATGATAAGAAGGAGACGGATCCAAAGAAGGCTCCTGTCAGCCCGGTTAAGACCCCCAAGAGCCCTAAAAAGGCCCCTAACAGCCCCGTGAAGGCCCCCGAGAGTCCTGTAAAGGCCCCGGAGAGCCCTAAGAAGGCTGTTGAAAGCCCCAAGAAGGAAGCGTCTGAGCCTGCACCTGCAGTGGATGATGCTGTTAAGAGGATGCTGTGCGAGGACTTGATCATTAGCCAGGCTATCACTGAGACTGCGGATGCCTTCACGGAAGAGTTACTTGAGGAATCGTTTGAAAATGTTGCATTGGAGCAGGAGGAATACGTCCAAGTGGAGATGACGCGGTCGATGACTCTTTCTCCCAGCACACCTGAGCTTATCAACATCGAAGACGCAGTAGCGAAGACTGAGGAGCACGAGGTTGCTCACACTTGTGAAGCCACACAAGATGAAGAGAGCATCGTCCAGGAGGAACAGGAACAGGACGAGACGTCGTATGAGCCGACTGAGCCTGCGGCTGCGGCTCTGGCTTCACCGAAGAGCTCTGTCCAGTCTTCGTCGTGGGAGGCAATCGCCAGTCCGGAGGTCAAGGCCCAAGAGCCCGTAACGTCGCTGTCACTAGACGCGCCGACAGAAGACACCGAGGCTCTGTCCATTAACGTACCGGTTGAAAACACCGAGGCCTGTTACCAGGACAAGGACGCTTCGTCACCCGTAAGCAGTGGCGGGTCATCCCCTGGCAGCAACCGCAATCGCAACCGATCAAAGAAGTCGAAAAGCAAACGGAAGAAAGCCAAGAAACACCCAAAGTTCAAGGCGTGATAGTCTCTTGTAGAAGACGCGACCAGATCTCGGTTTTAGGTGCGTGTAATTAGTTATCGAATATAGCAACAGTGCCACTTTATTGATGAAGTGTCTTGAGTCTCGTAGCTTACACATAGAGTTCCGTGGCCAGCTTGAGGCCCAGGAACTCGCGTACGTGGTCGTCGTCAGCAATACCTGGGATCTGCAGCAAGTGATGCAAGAAAACCTGCAGCAACTCCTTGCGTCTGGCCAGAAAGTCCGGGTTCAGGTCCCTACAGCAATACGTCTTTGGCGGCAGTTCAGGCAGTCGCTCGCCAGCTTTGAAGCGCACACTGACGAGTAAACGTCGTCAGCTGGGCATCTCACTCGAGTTTCAGTGCGTTCGCTGGTTCGTACCTCGACTGCAGCCCGTCGAACTCGCTGAAGCGACGTAGTACCTTCCAATTGCGTCGCCCGCTCTGGATCTGAAGTTCGTACAGTGCGTACTCGCCCTCCTTCACTAAGTACTTGATTATGGCCACAGTGAAGTAGTCCGAGCCTACGTAGAACGCGTCAATGTCCGTCGTGGTCGTAGAACGCTCTACCTGCAGCACGCACCGTAGCGTAAGGACCACGCGTTCTCAGGCAGATACACGAGCGACATGATGGAACTTAGACTTTCGTATCCAAATCTGATTCCGCTAATCTGTCAACGCCTTCTTATTTGTTGAAATTCAACCAATAATGACCCAAGGATCGATTTCCACCTATCAGTAGACGTTCTGCGACAACGCGTTGTAACGTCGAAGAGAAGTAGAAGAGCAGCAGGTAGAAGAAGGAGCCAACTTCTTTCTTTGTGTCTGCAGCGCCATGCAGGTCTACGTGCGCGTGCATGACGCCGACTACGAGTGGGCACGTGGACGTGTACTGCGCCGCCTCGAGAGCGACGCCTCTAAGCTGCTCGTGCAGCTCCAAGACAATGACGCAACAATTGAAGCGGACGAAGCTCACGATGTCCGTATGGCGAATGAACTAGCAGCCGGACAGACACTCGCGGACGTAGAGAACCTGGACGCACTCACGCATTTACATGAACCGGCGTTTGTCGACTATTTAGCGCAGCGTTACGGCGTCGACCAGGTGTATTGTCGCTCTGGCGCTGTGCTCATCGCTGTGAACCCGTTCAAGCACATCACAGGGCTCTACGATCTACACAAATACCACGAGGAAATGCCCAACTGGACTGCACTACCGCCGCATGTATTCTCCATAGCTGAAGGAGCCTATCGGTCACTACGACGACGTCTACATGAGCCTGGAGCGAGTAAAACGAACCAGACGATTCTTGTGAGTGGAGAGAGCGGAGCAGGCAAGACGGAAACCACTAAATTCATCATGAACTACCTAGCAGAGAGCGCTCAGCACACAACAGCCACGTCAAGCAGCAAGAAGAGACGCGCGATCAGCGGCAGCGAACTTCTGAGTGCCAATCCGATCCTAGAGAGCTTCGGCAACGCCAGAACTCTGAGAAATAATAACAGTAGTCGTTTCGGCAAGTTTGTGCGTATGTTCTTTGAAGGCCACGAGCTGGAGACGTCGTTAAAGATGATCGGGACGTCTGTGGAGACGTACCTACTGGAAAAAGTGCGCGTGGTGCATCAGAACGACGGAGAGCGGAATTTCCACGTGTTTTACGAACTCTTAGCAGGTGCAAACGACGAGATGAAGAGGGAATTGCAGCTCGCGGGTCTGTCAGCGCAGGATTTCCAGTTCATAAACGGTGGTCGCTGTTTCCAGAGGAATGACGGCGTACGGGACGATACGCAGTTCCAGTTGGTGCTACAGTCCATGGACGTTCTGGGCTTTACGGACGTGGAACAAGGAGCGATCTGGAAGATTCTGAGTGCGTTGCTACATCTCGGAAACGTGCTCTTCGCTGCCTCGCGTGAGGACGAAGGCGAGGAAGACAACGGAGCGGCGTCGGCGCCGTGTCGCTTGGCGTCTGCGTCGCCGTCTTCGCTTACAGTTCAAGAGCATTTAGATATTGTCTCCAAGTTATTTGCAGTGGACCAGAAGGAGCTGGTGTCAGCGTTGACTACGCGGAAGATCAGCGTCGGGGGCGAGACTTTCCATTCGAATCTGAGTCTCGCGCAGTGCGGAGACGCGCGAGACGCCATGGCGCGCTCGTTGTATGCGTTTGTGTTCCAGTTTCTGGTCTCGAAAGTTAACTCCGCGTCACCACGAGCTCAACAGGCGCTGAATCCTGCGAATAAAGCAGCGAACAAGGACACAACGCCGTGTATCGCAGTGCTGGACATCTTCGGCTTTGAGGAGTTTGAAGTGAATCAGTTCGAGCAGTTCTGCATCAATTACGCCAACGAGAAGCTGCAGTATCAGTTTATACAGGATATCTTACTCACCGAGCAGCAGGCGCATATCGAGGAAGGCATCACGTGGAACGCAGTGGAGTACGACGATAATGCCGTGTGTTTGGAGATGCTGGAGCAACGTCCGAGTGGCATTTTCCCGCTATTGGACGAAGAGTGCGTCGTCCCCAAGGGAAGCGACGCTGGGTTTGCGAGGAAATTGTATCAACGACTGCAGGAGCACAGCAACTTCAGTGCTTCTCGCACTGACCAAGCGGACGTTGCGTTCCACATTCACCATTACGCGGGGAGAGTACGGTATCAAGTGGAAGGATTCTGCGAGAAGAACAAGGACCAGCCCAACGCAGAGCTGTTTGGGGTGCTGGGGAAGACTAGCGACGCGCATCTGCGAGAGTTGTTCGAGTTCTTTAAAGCCAGCGAGTCGGCGGAACTGAGTCTTGGGCAGCCGAAGCTGAGACGACGCTCGTCGGTGCTCAGTGCGGTGGGTATTGGCTCTCAGTTCAAGCAGCAACTGGCAAGTCTGTTGGATGTGGTGCAGCAGACACAGACGCACTATATCCGATGCATCAAGCCCAACGACGAGAGTGCAAGTGGCCAGTTTGATAAGGCTAAAGTGTCGAGTCAATTGCGGTACGGAGGCGTATTGAAAGCGGTGGAGATTATGCGTCAATCGTTCCCTGTTCGCATGCGTCACGTCGATTTCGTCAAGCAGTATCGTCTTCTGGCGACTACGAAGACGGATTGGAGTGCTGGGGAGCTGATCGAAACGCTGAGAGTCGACCAAGCTGAGCTGGGTAACGCGCGCGTGTTTCTGCGCCAGCAAGCGTTTGACCGACTGGAGAAACGGCGGGAACGAGTCATAGTGGACTCGGCAGTAACGTTACAGAGCTCGTGGCGTGGCAGACGGCAGCGATGTGTGTATATTAGACAAATACAGGTGCTGTGGAGTGTCCAAGTGCGATGGAAAGCCATTTTGGAGAAGAAACGACGACGCGCTAGACGGGAGAAAGCAGCGAGAGTGATTCAGCGCGCAATGAGCTGCTGGACGCTGGCGATGAAGCTGCGACGACAGCAAAGCGCTGTACAGATTCAAGTGGCCTTCCGGAGATGGCACCAAGCGCGTGCTGCAAGAGCAGCTGAAGCTTCTGTAAAACCCTCGAGTCAAGAGGACAAGTCGGAGGACCCAGTGGGTTACAATGGTCGAGAAAGCGAACTTACGATTGAAACAGTGGAAGAAGACGACGTGCTTTCCACCGCAACTGCCTCAGTCGGAACAAGTGCGTACTCGGAGGACGTCGAGTATTCGCCGTTAGATGCCGTGAGAAGAGCTACTCTTCGAGGACGCATGAGGGAGCTTGGTGATGCATCAGACAGTGAGAATGCGATGCTGAAGAAGGCACTCAAGGAGGTGGAGCGGCTGCGTCGTAGAGCTGAAGCTGCTGAAGCTGCGCTGTCACATTTTGCTAGGCGAGAGGTCGATATCTCGAGTGACGCGTTGTCAATTGTTACGACCAGAGCTGCAGGTGGACCGCTGCATTATGGAGGCGCGAGAGGTGACTTCTCGTTGTGGAGACAGCTGAATACGTCGAGTCTGAGGATTGATCGATACGGCAACACGGTGCTGCATCAGGCTGTGGAGAGTGGCAATGTGGAGCTCGCGTGTGCGCTTCTTGTGAGTGAGGCGAGTGGCGCACTCGATATGCTGCAACACGCAGAGACACAGCGCGGATTCTCTCCACTGCATCTTGCTGTTCGCGGAGGCAACTTTGAGATGGTGAGTCTGTTCTTCCGGCCGGAAGTATTGCCACATCTCGACTTGAATTTCAGCGATCGTGAGGGGAACACAGCGCTGCATCTGGCTACTCAACTCCAGGTGCAGATTGCGTCGCGTGTACTGGAGCTGCTGCTTTGCTTCGGTGCTGACGCCAACGCAGTGAACTTTGTGAAACAGACCCCTCTGCACTTGTGCTCCATGATCAAACGCAGTGGATCTGCGACGTGTGAGATCATGGAAACGTTGCTACGACACAAGGCAGACCCACAGAAAGTGGACTTCCTTAAGCGCTCGCCACTGCATTATTGCATGGAGAAAGGCATGTACGGTACTTGTGCACTACAGTCGAGAGTCGTGTTGCTTACTTGGTTTGTGCGTTGTCGATAGAAATGGAGGACGAGGCTGTGCTGTTGATGAAGCATGGAGCAGACATGAACCAGCCCGATGGAGAGGGGGTACGCGTGGTTACGAACCCCAAAGCCACTGGTGTAAGTGGATTGATGTGTATAAGTTGTTTGTATCGAGTGGACGTTAACTGTTGCTGTTGCCTTTGCAGCTCCTGCGGTATCTACGCGTGACGCCGTCGTGGATTCCCGACACCGACGTTACCGAGTGCATGGTCTGTCTGGAGCCGTTCCCGTTCTTTTTCTCGCGCAAGTGCCACTGCGATCGCTGTGGTCGCGTCTGTTGTTCGGACTGCGCGCCGTCGAGTTCGTCCTGGAACGGCCGCTTCTGCTTCGACTGCAAGCACTACGCACACTACTCGTGATGCTGACATCACCGCGCTAATTATTTTTTTCGTATTAACTACAGTTTGACAGCACAGAACGTATAATTTTTGTAGACATAAAAAACCACAAGCGCATTAGATTCATGGCTATTGCAGTTTTTACAGCATCAATACCTCTCTATACAGAGACGCTGTTGGAATCACTTGCGTGTGAGCAAGCGAGCGGCGACGAAAGATGCCGACACCACGAGGGTGGTGAGTGCTACGAGCGTCACCTTATCGTCGCTCACTTCGTTCCACTTGGCCGCCATCGTACTCGTGATAGTTGAGATCATGCCATTTTCCTCAGCCGCAGCGTGTTTCTTCTTCCGTGAGGCGGCCATTTTCTTCTTCTTCTTTGTGCCGCACTTGCCTCCACAGCCCTTTCCTTCACCACCAGACGAGCAGCACGAGCCACTGCCACCACAACACCCTCCTTCACCATGATGATCGTCATCATGGTCGTGCGATGCAGCTGCCTTTGCCTTTGACAAAGCCTTGGCTCGGTCAGCAGCTGACAGCTCCCCTTCAGTGCAGATCTGCTCGCGAATGGCAGCAGCGGCCACAGTACAAGGCTGCGAGCGCGAGATGACCTCACCTGTAGCGTGGAATCTCGCCGCTGTGAGCACGCGCACCTCCGCCGTGCACCCGATGAGGGAGTCATCACGAGGGAGAAGCACCTTGGTATAGTTCTTGGTGTGTGCCACCGTGTACTTCTTGTCATCCGAGACTTCCGTGTTCACCCAGACTTTCAGTGTCGTATCCACAAGACGCGTGTACGGCTCGAATGTCTCGAATAGCTTTGTGAGTTTGCGGCTGCGGTTCTTGACTATTTGAGTGGAGACACGCTTCATCTTGGCTGCAGGAGTTCCCGGACGAGGGTAGAACTGGGAAATATTCATAATGTGGAAACGATACTTATCCACCAGCTCCATCGTCTCGTCAAAATGTTCCTCGGTTTCGGTTGGGAAGCCACAGATGATGTCAGTGGCAAGTGTAAGATCCGGCACTTTAGCGAGCAACTCATCAGCCACACGACGGAATTCGCCAGCCGTGTACTCGCGGTTCATTGCCAGCAACACGTCGTCACTGCCAGACTGGACAGGTACGTGTAGAAACGAGTACACTCGTTCGTGGTTGAGCACTTCAGCGATAGCGTCCAAGTGATCCAGGATGTACGGAGGGTTCGTCATACCTACACGGAGCATGATGCCATCGGGCACAACTTCCAGCAATTTACGCATCAAGGTGGGCAGATCGGTGCCAATGTCAATGCCGTATGCGCCAGTGTCTTCACTGGACAGCCAGATCTCCGTCACGCCTTCATTGATCACCGTCTGTGCTCTCGAAACGATGGCTTCCGGCGTGTAACTTCCCAGTTTGCCGCGTGCATGACGCGTCTTGCAGTACGTGCACGCTCCGAGACAGCCTGTGCTCAGCGGGATGATCTCCACCATGGGATTCTTACGGATCTTGGGCAGATCGAGCTCCGGCAGACGGTTTTTGGCCAGTAGACGCACGGTATGGCCCTTAAGTGTCTCCTCCACGACCTCCACGACTCGGTCCACTTGTTGAATGCCTACGATACTGACTTCCTCAAGGCCCTTAAGGTGGCGATCAGCCTGCGGCACACAGCCGGCCACAACTACGGCCTTGTTCTGCTTGCGGCCCTTGACGGCCAGGTGCATGAAGGCAGCCTGGGATGGGTCTTTGACAGTGCAGCTGTTGAGCAGCCAGAGCTGCGCCGCGTCTGGGTCCTGTGTGAAGCGGTAGCCGTAGCTGGCCAGCACGCCTTGCATGTACTCCGAGTCACTCACGTTGTGCGAGCAGCCGTACGTTTTTATCCAGATGAGTTGCGTGCCAGGCACACTGGGTTCTTTGGAGTCAATGTCGGAGCTGCTGCTGGCTGTGCTGCTGGATGTCGACTGGACGGTATCCTGGAAGTGCGCCTTCGGTGCCACCATGGGCGTGCGCACGGAGCCCACGGCCGCACGGTCCAGCTCCTCCTCGCCGATCATGTCCTCGATGTCGTCCATGGTTAAGCAAATCGAATTGTCAGTGGCCAGAGTTCAATGGGTAGTTGAACAGTGTACATGTACTTGGTATTCGAAACAGCTGGGAATACATTCTGGAGATATTAATACTAAGTGCTCTTAATACTACGTACTAATAGTAGTATTCTACTACGTTATACTCGCTGATATTATTTTTTTGGTCATGACCATTTCTTAGTAGGGCTATGGTATTTGGCGATTTGCACATGTAAAAGGCCCCATACCAGCTCAACTTACTGTTAGCTAGATTTTTTTAATTTTACCACAACAATTTTCTTCACCAAAACCTGACCTGTAGACAATTTTATTGCTCTTACCTCACAAGATGCAAGCAGATCCAGCAAGAAAAGTCACAGCGCCCTAATTTCCACTTCTTCAGTTGAACTTGCAAATGACCGTTGGCACCTTGAACACGTTTCCATCGTCATCGGAGCACGACGTCTGCAACTCAATGTACTTGCGACTGCAGTCTACGAGTCCTTCATAGCGTGATTCCACGAAGGCACGCAGAGGCTTAGTCATCTGATCAGCATATAGCTCCTTCAGCGCCTTGCCAAAGGCATTGCGGTCGTACAGCATCAATCCGCTGACAGTACGGTAGCGCAGATCCTTCTCCGCAGCGCTAGTGTTGCCCATTTCCGCAACACGGTGGAACACCAAGTCGCAGTTTAGCTCCGTCTTTTCCTTAAACTGAGTCAAGAAATCCTCAAGCGTCGAATCAGATGACAATTCGATGAGAGTGGAGTCCCACTTGGTGAATCCAGGAGGCTTGCACTTGACCTCCGACATCTCCACCACGTCGTATTCGTCCTTAGCACGAGCAGGGGCCGCTGGCTCCTGCATCAGATACATGTTCAAACCCAGAGAATTGGACGAGTCCTTAAAAGCTTCCAGCTCCTTCTGCTGCATCAACTTGAGCATCTCCAGCATAGCCAATCCAGTCACAGAAGCCGTCGTGGTCGCAATAGCCGGAATGATCTTGCCTGCAATCATCTTACACTTGTGGCGCGACGCGTCGCGGATGCGGTAGTTGAAGGCTCGCAGGTTCGACGCCGCGTAGATAAAGTCGATGTGGAAGTTCATGTCCTGATCCTTCTCAAAGTCCGCCGGCTCGAGCGACAGACCTGAGAGATCAAAGGTTTCGAGCTCATGCAGCAGCTCCACAAGCTCATTCTTGTCCGAGTCGTTCGAGTTCTTGATCTTCTCCTGCTCCAAACGCTTAATCTCATCCGAGTCGGCGGCAATCTTTTCGTTCGACGGCTTCCAAGTCGGAGGGGCATACTTATTGCCAAGCTCTTCATACGTGGATGGGTCACGCCATTCCGAATCAGCAGGGACCAATTTCTGCTCCGGGGCCGGCTGAACTCCGTAGCAGACAGCCAAGATATTGGCAGTAGCACGTACGAAGTTGAGGTGCAGCGGGTTTTCTGGGTCAAACTTGTCCACTGCTTGCGGGAAACGCTTGGCTCCCGACCAGAATTTTTCTCCCGAGTTCGTCAAATGGTCCTCCGGGAAGTTATGAATCAGCTGCAGGATGCGGTCGCGGAATTGCGACGTCATAAGCTCAAACGCCAGCGTCACACACTTCTCGAACGTGATATCCTTCGCCGTGTGTAAAGTAGCACGCAGACTGCGAAGACGCTCCAGCTCCTGGACAATTGCCGCGGCAACAAGCTTCGGGTTCGGGTTTTCAAGCGTAGCCTTCTTCACCTGGTCTAGATATGCTGCGCGATCTTCCATGAACTTCTTGGCCTCTGCAGCAGGCACCACAAAACGATCTTCAAACTGTGCACGCGACCACTCGATGCAGTGCTCAATTAGAGAGGGGAAGTTGCGTAGCGTGCACATCGGGATACCGTCACCTTCAGCATCCTTCGGACCATCCGCGTAGCTTTGCGTCTTGTACGGGATCACCACCTGCACATTACACTTCGTACCAAGCGTGCCACTCTCCAACAGAGGCAACTTGTGGAAAACACACTTGCTGTCCACGTACAGACGCGCCTTCACGTTATCCAACGCGTTCGTGACCACATCCAGATCAGTCCAGAATTCGCCATTGAATACGTTCTCCGTGTGAGGAGCGACCAGTTGCTCTAGTGTCTTCACCTTCAGGTCAGCGTTCATTTGATGCACCGCAGCAGTAGCAGCCACGGACTTGGGCTGACCCACGTTCTGTTCTCGGAAGAGGAACTGGCGGTTCAGGTTGCTCACTTCAATACGGTCGTTGTCCGTGACCGTCACAAGACCCTTCTCGCCGCATGCAACACCAATCATAGCGAAGTTCTTCAGGTATTCGCAGCCAAGAGCACCACAGCCCACAAGGAACGTGCGAACGTTTCCTAGCTGCTTATGGAACGACAGTCCAAACGCCGTGATCATGTGGTCGTACCTCGAGCCAATCGGCTTCGCGTCTGCTGGACGCTCATCTGGCAACACTTCGAATGCATCCAAGTGTAGCCATTGCTTTAATGGGGTGAACTTGCCCGTGAACTTGACGACTTCTTGGGCAACGACACCACCGTAGAAAGCAGCAAGAGGGTGCAGCTCGACAGCCGAATAGAGAGCAGCCTGACGCACGACCTTCTCATCCAACTCCTCCAGTTCCATCACTTCCTGCTTGTGAGCACCGTCCCGAGTAAAGTCCGAGAGGTGCTGAATACCTTCCTGGGCAATAGCCAAGACTTCATCGGCATCTTGATCGTTGTGCGGCTCTGGGTAGTGGCCATGACGTTCCTCGAACTCCATCAGACTCCACATGACGACGTGAAGTTGCTCTGCGCGGCCAAACTTGGCACCGTCCGTGAACATGAGGCCAAAATCTCCTTCAGGCACAGGCGACACTAGCGATTCCTCAAATGACTTGAACTTCACCGTGAACGGCTTCTTGTGTTGTATGAAAACACCTCCGCCTTCATACGGCGTAAACTCGGACGTGTCGCCGATTTTAAGGCGATACGCATCGAACACTTCCGTCTGATTGCCGTTACGGAACACCTTCTTGTTGGCAAACTTAATGCGACGCGGTCCCATCGTGTTAATGGACTGGTTCGGGTCGCTCTTGAGCTTCATGCCCTGCACATCGCTGATCTCGATCCATCCGTCGTGGTCCGAGTCTGGCATTTCGTGCATCTTGCCGTCCTCATCGGGTCCCAAGATACTCAGCATGCCGTCCTTATCGTTCGTAATGTCCGTGATAATACGAGTAATAGGAGCTTCGCCCGTGGCGTCAAAACCCTTAAACTCGTCGCCAAAGTCCGTAAATGCGTAGCCGAAGGCGCCGCGGATGTCGCACGTGATGAAGCCAATCTGCGGCGACTGCTGGCGACAGAAGTGGTTCCAGCGCACCAGTTCTTTGCGAGTCGTGTGCGAGAAGACCACCACGTTGTGCTTGGCCACCACCTCCTCGGTCAGTGGACCTTTGTGTACGGCAACCGACACCATCTTGTTGAGCTCCGCCAGCTTGTGCGAGACGGCAGAAGCACGCGGCTGACCCACGTCCTGCTCCGTCAGGAAGAAGTTTGTGCCCAGATCCTTGATCTCCGCGATGCCGTCATCGTGCAGTGTGATGGCGCCGGGGCCTGCGAGGATCAAGTTCTTGGCGCACTCAATGCCCACTCCCTGTAGCCCCACGATGAGGACTCTGAGCTTCACCAACTGCGCGAGCAATACACAATCTACAGTAAGTTCTTGTGACCATCACTCTGCAATTCCGCACTCGATGCTCGCCTACCTTGGCCATAGTCTCGAGCCCGAAGGCGCCGATCTGGCGGCTGTACTTGTCCATGAAGCCCGCATCCTTCTCTAGTTGCTGTGTGGCTTCCATGGCGCTGTCGTGCTTGCGTCGCTTGCTGCTCGGGGCGTCGTCGTGGCCCTGGCAGCGTCCGTTGGGGGTCGCCGACCGCTTCAGCTTCGTCACTCTTTTCCTTGCGATTGAAAGGAAAAATAAGATCTTCCCCCTCAATTTGAGACAAAAATGTGAGCCGATAAGCAAATTTTGTGATTTGATCACTTCAACTTGTTGACATATGATGCTTTGCTTGTCATCAGTTCGTCTAGTGCAAAGCCACCTCATGAGTTTTATCCTCGAGCTTGAAAAGCAGTGACTGCAGAAGTTTCTTGCGCACGCTTGTCGGCGGCAATTGTGCTTCTGACTGTACACCATGTAATGCACGCATGGAGCAGCTCAGCACACCTTGAGAAGGCAGCTTGTCGTCGCTAATCCAGGTTTTCCACACATCTGACTCGACAGTGTCGACATTCAGCTGCATATTCGTCAGCTCGGCTTCACCACTGACTGCAAGTTTGACGAGAATCAAAACCAATTGCCGCTGATCAAACGCGTTTAGCTGGAGATTCCTGTATGTTTCGCTTTGTTGCAGCGGATGGAAACAATTCAGCACACCCAGTCGATCCAACACCTGCGTCTTAGTGGTAAGATCAAGTAACGAAAGCGTTTCACAGAGGTTCCACTCGTCAATTATTCGACTGAACAACACTATGAACACTTCACCTCGGAATAAACATCCAGTGGTAGGATCTCGTTCGAATGTGCCAAAGTGCTCCATGATACGCTGTGCCTGACTACAGGTATAATAGTATAGTGTCGAAATGGATCGTAGTCCAACAAGCTTCATTTCTGCCGTCACTTGCAACTGCTTGAACTCCTTCAGAAACTGTTCAAAAGTGCCATCATTCAGCGCTGTACAAATTGCATAAGGACGTCGCGTCAGGACGAAATCAATCTCGAGGATTCCTAATCGAGGAAACTGCCAATTGTTCCCCATTCCGATTGGTAAGCGATTCAATCTCATATTCCGGAACCCGCCTTGAAGCGATTGCGCAGCTAAACCGTGCTGCGAAGTGTCCATTAGTTTCAAATGCTGTCTCATCTTCCTCTCTGTCTTGTTCGCCTCCAGAAGCCGCATTAAAATGCGACGATCGATAGAGTTTGCCATGTTCAGTTGATACCGCCCAGTCGGATTGTTCACGTTGAATGAAATCCATTTTCCTACTTTTTGCTCGATGTGGCTCTGCTCGATATCGGAGAGATTTTCGAGGCCAATAGTCATGCAGATATCACCGCACACATCAATTTTCCCATCTCCGTCTTTGTCCTCGAAAAATTGATCCGGTGGTTGCATTGAAGCACAATCGTAAATCTCCTCTGTAGTTGCAGAAGAGATTTCTGTTTGTGTTGAAGGAGTCTGGAGGATCTGCGGTATGAGCGTAGCAGCAGCATTTGCCTTTTCAACTTGAGAAGTACGAGATTCGAAAAGTGACAACAAAGTGTTAGCTTCAGCTACCGTAAGGGAATACTCTTCTGCCAGGATCCGGATACAAAATAACTTTGCAGCCTCATCACCATCTTGCGAGTGACCAAAGGATCGATCGATCAGGGTGACGATTCGATCGAAGCCACTAGGAGAAATCAGCTCTTCATGACGATCATAGTTAGGCTGGATCTTTATATGTATGGACCCTTGTGACGGAATCGAGGTCATCAGTGCCTTCTCGTCTTTCCTATTGAACGTGAACGCAGTTCCATTGTGGAGAGCGTCCACGATATCAGTTTTGTTTTTCCATACAAGTTGCAGGAGTTCTCTCAGTATTATGCTGTCGGATCGTTCAGCCATGTTCAGATTAAAGGTGCCTCCGCCATAGATAGTTCCCTCCAGACTGCTGTCCGAAATTTCCAGATTGCAATTACCAATGTCGATTTGGCAGCTTGATATGGATCCTGAGGCTACCGAACGCAGAACAGCTTCCCCTCCAATGACACCAATAGGGTTGCCGCGAATGACAAGACTCTCGAGAACTGCGTTTTGCTGCAGGCCATTGACATACACCAACATCGATTTGGCCTGGACGTGATTATTTGAGATATCTAAGAGCCGTAGTGATTTGTTTGTTGCTAAGCATGCGCCGAGGTCAGCGTCAGCTTTTCCGTTGTTCCCAAGTGTGTTGTCAGAAAGATCCAAGTGAGTAAGCGTCAAGTTTTCCATCATACATCGTGCTAAATGTTGCGCTGGTTCGCCGCGTATGTTGTTCCAAGAGAGATTAAGAGATGTGAGTGGTGTCGATATACGCAGGAGCTCTCCAATGGAAACAGCAGCATGAAAGACGTGGTTTCGTCGAAGGTCGAGATGTTCTAGCGTACAGCGATTCAGTAGGCACTGGATTAGCGTCTTCACTGCTTGGTCACCAAGCAGATTATTGCCAAGATCCAGCGACTTCAGATTAGTTTGCGGATTCTCAAGCATCCGATAAATGGTGTGAGTTCCCTTGGAGCCGAGTCGGTTTCCTGAAAAACTGAGGTGTTTCAATTGCTTCATCGCTATACCGCTCATGATAGCGGATGATCCATTGCCAGAAACACCCACATTTTTCATTGACAAGGTCTGTACAGGCACTGGAAGTAGTCGAAGCGCGTCTCCCAGCGCCTCGGCGCGCTTGTCGCCAAAGTAGTAATTGTCATAGCAGAGCGATTGACTGACTCGTTCATAACGCGATGGTCGCTTTAGATCTAGTACAGGAAGTACTAGCAGAGAAGCGTTCTGGCAGTTGGTGATATAGCGACCTCGAGTGGAGTCAGGCCGTTTACTCGACGTTGTGTTCTTGTACAGTCTCCAAAAGTCTTCAGCTTCGCCTTGAACATCTTCAGCACCGTTTGTGCTACTTATTTGGTTACTGTCAGTAGTATCCTCATCCAACACTTCTCGTTTGAACTTCGCTTTCACTTCCATCAACTTTGCTGCTGCAGCCGCTGCTGTTCTCATTTCTTCGGTCTCCTCCTTCTCAATTACATCGGTGTTATCTCCTAAGATACTTGCATCAGCATCATCATGTGCGTGCTGATCTTCTCCATCGTTTTCGCTCTTCTTCGAGCTGTTCTGACCGGTCAGAACATTAATCATCTGCCGTGTCTTGCTTAGCACCTTATTAGTCCGATGGGCAACTTTAAAGGCCTTCCATCCATCCTGAGCAGTCGCAGCAGCGGCGACAGCCGCCAAATTCTTAGAAGATGACGGTTGTAGCTGCGGCGGAGGGAGCGACGTCGGCGGTGACTGCAAGTTCCTATTTTTCCTCTGTGAGCTCATTGGCTGTAGATGCGAGTGTTGGCCAGCAGTTGCCAGTTTTTGGCGCTGTGAGACCAACATTTTCCGGTTGATGCCCCCCAAGGCCATCGGGGTAGTGCCATTCAGAGCTGGCGTCGAGGGCACCGCCATGGGTGGTACGCACTCGCGCAGCATACTCTCGATAAGCTCATCCTTGGCGCCATCGTCCGTCCAGTTCCAGAGATCCGAGCGAGGGAAGGTCGCCACCTCCGAACGTCTCGTACGTGCAGCCAGAGGTGACGGCTTCACTGCTGTTCCAAGCGGAGGTCTTGCCGGCTGCTGCTTCGTCCCCATAGTACAGTGTCAAATGCATCTCCTAACAATAGCTGAAGTGACCAACACTCCTGAAAGTTTTTGTAAAATGGTGTAGAAATTGTGTACTGATGGTCCCATCCCTAGGGGGAGTGGACGTCCAGTCTATTGTTACTCCCGGCCAAGAAGGAAGTTCTGTGCCGACCAACATGACGAGCGTGAACGACGTGGCGCTAGAAGAGGTCAAGCCCGCGAGCAGCGGTAGCGGTCCCGACCAGTGGATTGAGAATCTGCGCAATGGCAAAGTGCTGAGCGAGCTGGAGCTCAAGCAGGTGTGCGAGATGGTCAAGATGCTACTCATCGAGGAGTCCAACGTGCAGCCCGTGAGCAGCCCCGTGACGGTCTGCGGTGACATCCACGGCCAGTTCTTCGATCTTCTTGAGCTTTTCCGTTGTGGTGGCGACATCGAAAACACGAACTACATTTTTATGGTGGGGAAGCTTACATTGCAACACAGAGAGGGGAGCTGAAGCTGATGTTTTGGTGTGTTCTACCACTGTAGGGCGACTTTGTGGACCGCGGACACAACAGTGTGGAGACTTTCGAGCTGCTGCTATGCCTTAAGGCGCGCTACCCAGACCGCATCACACTGCTGCGTGGCAATCACGAGTGTCGGCAGATTACGCAGGTCTATGGCTTCTACGAGGAGTGTGTGCGTAAATATGGCAATGCCAATCCGTGGAAGTACTGCACGGACGTGTTCGATTACCTCAACCTGGCTGCCATCATTGACGGACGTGTGCTCTGCGTGCACGGCGGTCTGTCGCCTGAGATCCGATCGCTGGACCAGATCAGGACAATAGAGCGCCAGCAGGAGATCCCCCATGAAGGATCTTTCTGTGACCTCATGTGGTCTGATCCAGAGGACATTGAGACGTGGGCTATGAGTCCGCGGGGCGCTGGATACCTTTTCGGTGCCAAGGTTACGCAGGAATTCAACCAGATTAATGGACTCGACCTCATTTGTCGTGCGCATCAGCTCGTGCAGGAAGGATACAAGTACATGTTCGACAATAGCCTCGTGACCGTCTGGTCTGCGCCTAATTACTGCTACCGATGCGGTAATGTTGCAGCCATCCTGTCGTTCGACGAAAACCTCGAGCGTGATTTCAAATTGTTCCGAGAGGTACGATTAGTGATATTGCTGGCGTCGTGTGGTTGTTATTTCGGTGTGCATGATCTGACGGTTTCTGCGATTGTTTTCAGGTTGCCGAGTCTGCGGATGGCTTCAACCAGCGTGCGCTAGTGCCGTACTTCCTGTAAAGTGGTTGTCGGGTACGGTTCGTCGACGATGTCTCGCACGCTGCGATCAGCGCCTTGCGTCTTGCTTGCCATCATCTGATTTACTTGCTTTTTGAGCTCGCCACACGGGTCGCTCTAATATTCTCTTCACATCGAAAAGGGACAAGGACGCTAGTAGATAGATATCCTGTCGACGGATCCTATTAACTAAGCTTTTGTGCATGTTCGTTTCTGTTGTGCTGGATATGATGCATGTGCATTTAGTGCGACGGTGGAGAAAGTGGCTTCACATGGACCACTTTGGGCTCCGACATCCAGCTTGCTTGCACAGTATAGGCAAAGTCCCATCCATATCCAGCTCCTCCGAACTCTCCAAGTTGATTTAAACACACCATGCCTCCCACGAAGTGCGGATACTTTGCTGCAATGCGACGGAGGGAACGTTCACACGCCTTGCGTGGCTACCGCAAAGAAATCAAATAGGTCAGTAAGGCAAGTCATTGGAGTGCACCAGCAAGATATATACGTACGTGGGTGCCCTTCTTCATCTCCTGAACAGCGAAGAAAGAAGGTAAAAAACGCATCATCACGTCTCCGTCTCCTGTGCAAGCGGCACCACCGATTGACGAATCCACATAAGCCCCAGCACCAGGCACGGAAGCATCACCGACACGTCTGCATTGCAAGTAGAATATCATCAGTTCAAGCAGACACGCAGGTACCATACTGTCGCAGTAGAGCTCACCCTGCAATTTTGTGTGTTGCTCCGTTCGAGCTGGTCCCCGCAGCCATGTGGCCATTGTCCGCCAGCACAACCATCCCTATAGTGTCGTGGTTTTGCTTGGATATCAAGCTTTCGACATCAGCGTTGTTCTGTCTGCTCGCTGAGCGCAGCAAGGATTGGCCTTGTAGTCCTGTGTACACTTCATGCTGCGACGGCAGTGGCTTATACGGTGGACACGACGTATTCTGTCCCACAACGTTGCGGAAGTAGTTCGGCTGGCATTTGTTGCTGAGCCAGTCTTGGTGGATTTCCCGCGAGTGTGGCGTGTCCAAGGGCGTTTCCTCGAAGCCCATCATCTTGGCAAAAGCCAACGCTCCGTTACTCGCCAAGATGCTATGCGACGAGTGCTCCATGACGGCGCGAGCCACTTCAATGGCAGGCTTGATTCGCCGTAGTTGAGCCACCGCGCCCATTTCCATCGTGGAGCCGTCCAGGATCATGGCATCTAGTGTAGTCTCTCCGTTGGAGTCGGGGCTACCTCCGTATCCAACGGTGAAGTCGCATTGGTCTACTTCACAGCGATTGCAGCCTCTCGTGATGGCGTCTAGTGCTCGGGAGCGACTACCAGGTCTTTCTAAAGCTTGGAAGCCTGCACGAGTCGCATTCACAAATGGCCACGTGTTGATCACAACCTTGCCACGCTGTGGTATCTCATGCGCCGAGCCCAACAGCATTATGAAGCACACGAGCACTGCAAAGCTGCCGCAGATCCAGCGCTGATGCGTCTCATGTCGGGGCTGATCCATTATTCTGATCAAGGTGAATGCACAAATGCACAAATTGGATGGACTAATTTACTTCAACTAGGACCAAATTTGATGTCCATTGCGCTGGTTAGCTACTTCCACTCGGGCTTCTCCTTCGCTCGGGCTACAGCTTGTTGCTGCGCACGCAGCGCCTTGGTTAGTGATACGCTTCTCGCGATGCGTTGCACATATGCTGGAGCTTCGATCGTGCGCGGCTTGAACGTACACTCGGCGAACTCCCCAATTTCCTTCTCTTGGATAGCTCGGCGCTGCTTTATGGTATGTGCCTGGCTCTGCTGCTGAATACGCTGCAGATACGTGTCGGGGCTCGAGAGAATCTTTAGTCGACCTTCGTAACGGTCCGACACGCGGTTCAGCTGTGGCCGGAAGGTCAACGCTGCCATGTCCTCTTGCTCCATCTTCAGCTTCATCAGCCGCTGCGTCGTCTCTCGTCGCAGCAAGTCACCGCGACTGAGTTCGGTGATGGATCGAGGTTTTCGCTTGGTACTAGCCTGATTGATCGCCGGCTTAAACGTGCAATTCGGGTCCTACGACAGGAAATACAACACGTTAGTTAGGCGAGGATAAAGGACCAATTACGTGCGCAGCTTACCGTCGATCGAACAGTCTTCTTCTTGACGTTGTCATGCTCTTTACGCAACGCATACGAAGAAATTCGTTCTAAAAAGTCACCCTTGCGACCATTTCCCATCAAGGCAAGAGACTTCTTATTGATAGTCGGCTTGTAATCAGGTGTAAGTTGCTGCTTGGTTAGCTCAATCCGCTTGTGGCGAGCTTGTTCGTGAAACTTCTGTCGCTCAATGAAGTTCCTGAACTGTCGGGCACGCTCCTCTTTGCTCTCCTGGGTCTGCTCATCACCGTCCACAGAGCGCGGTCCTTGTCCGCGTCGCGCACTTGATGACAATCGACGTCGACTTTTGCCGCCTGGCCGAACGGAAATGTCGTCTTGGCAGGAGGTTACATCCAGCATGTCCCTATCTTCGTCGTCGTCACCAAACAAAGATAAGCTCCTTCTTCTCCCACTGCGGCTTTTAGCCGGGGATTTCGTATCGTCTGCGTCACAACAAGGCTTGCTCAGACGCTCGTAAATATTTTGTTGCAAGTAAAGTTGGGCAGAGACCATCTCGGATCGAATTCCGTTGACTTTAGGATAGAACGTGCATTCAGCCAGCTCCTTCGCAGCGGCTTCACGTGATGCTGCTGTCAGCGACGAAGAAGAAGTTGGTTTGGACTTCATGTACTTTGCCTTGACTTTGTCACTTGGATTAATCTTTGGCCTAAACGTGCACTGACGGTCGATCTCTGCTTCCTCGTCGGCTTTCAGCTTCGTTGCTAGCTCTTCTCGAAGCCTGTAGTTATCTGCTTCCTGGTATAGTCGCTCAGAGACAGCTTGCAGGACACTGAGGCCTTGACTAGATGACTGTCGTCCACGTAGCTTTGCAGCAACTTTGGTAGACTTCGGATTGATCTTGGGAGCAAACGTGCATTCGTCTAGTTCTGACTGTAGTAGCTGCTGCTTCATTTGCTCTCGATCAGCATCCTTCTGAGACTTCCAGCGAGTTACTCGGGCATGGAATTTGTCGTCGGTGTTGTTGTTACCTCCAGCTTTCACTCCATTGTTGCCACCCGCATTGGGAATGTGGTCGTCGTCAAGTTCATCTCGGAACTGCTCGGTGAAGTCGAGATACTGCTCTTCTTCCTTCTTAGCTTCGTGTGTAAAGCCGAAGTTGTCATCAGCCTGTCCTAAAAGATTATCTTGAACCGCGTACGTATAGTTATGTCGACTAGTATCATTGATTCCCGGAGAGACGTTGGTGACAGCCCCAGCAAACCCCGGTACTGCGGTCATATGTGATGTGAAGGTGTTGTTGGCGCAAGCACCTGCCCCAAAGCGGTCATCACTGAAGACTGGCGGATCTGCCATCTGAAACTCGGTCGCTTGTGGGTGCGACTGCTGCTGCTGATAATGTCGCACGCCGTTGCTCATTTGACTTGATGCTGAGGCTCTCGACTTATTGATCATCCACTCTTGTACACTTAGTCGCTTCGCCTTATCATGTGATACCCCCGTCGCGAGGAGCTCCGCATTGCTCACAACAATGGTAGCACCGGGTTTGGAGGTCATTGCAACAGGCACAGGAGGCGGCATCAAGAAACGCGGAGCTCCTATATTGCTGGGCATTGGCTGAACAGGGAACGGCATGGGCGTCACGGCCCCACCGAACGAGAATTGAGAAGGGGCTGCTTGGGTTTGGGTCATCTGAAACGGGGTGGTTGCACGATCTCCTGCAATGGAAAACGAGAATGCCGGCGAAATAGCAGGCGGCACGCCTGTCGCTGAAGAAGGTTGATATACATTGTTCCCATCCGACCGAATTGACGAATTCGGATCAGTATTCATCATAATCTGAACGGGTGGAGGCACGGAATTGGAAACCCCAGCACTTGACGAGGCTTGAAGTTTGGCGAGCTGCTGAAAGAGCTGCAGCTTAGAGATCTCGCCACTTTTCAGCTGCTGCATAAGCCCAGACACCGCCATCCCTGGTGACGTAGAGGTTTCCATATCCCCGCTTGCCGAAGGAAGGCAATCCGTGCTATTGCTGTTGTAGAAAATCCGGTATTGGGGTCATGTTGACTATTTTGGGGAGACGGCTTTAAACTAAATAACTCAACGCCTTAAGCCAGCAATTTATTCCTATCTAAACGTATTATTGTTCTGGCCAGCTGTACCTTCAAAATGGTACTTTTACATGCGTCTCCATCATTCTTCCGTATAACCAGTCGAACGTAAGTCAACCCGCTTCCGACTGACAAACATTCGCCACCCCGGCAATAAGGACAAGAGCAGTGGCGAGGTTGGCTGCACGAAATTATGTCAGCGGTGGGATTTGAACCCACAAGTGCGAGCACGGTAGAACCTGAGTCTACCCCCTTAGACCGCTCGTGTACGGGGTACAATCCAGTGTGCCCCATGCTATTAGACATAAAGAGTGACCCGGCACTCTTGTGGTGTGACGGGGTCACACAGCACCTTGCACAGAGGAAGTGCTTAAGGGTATTAACGAACGTAAGTCCACGTGCTCCCGGCCTCAAAGGGAACGGTTTGCTACTTAGAGGGGTAGATTTAAGACTGGTGTATTTATAAGTAAGATAAGCTTGGGTCTCATTCATACTGGAGGTTACCTATAGTGGAGCTAAGTAGTCATGCACTGACTGGCTCCGAGAGCACCTGGTATCGTGTACCAGGTGTCCACAAGAGTGACGGGTCACTCTTTATGTAACATGGGGCACACTGGATTGTACCCGTTACATCCTCCCGCACTTAACTGAGAATCACCTGGTTCTCCAATCACAACTGCTTCTCCAATCAGAAGTGAGAGAATTAAAACACCAAAAGGTGAATTCTCACACTGAGCAGCCACGAGACTGGCGCGGCTCTCAGTCACACCCACAGTGACTTGTGCTGCCAAAGCTCACTGGGATTTGCATCCTTATGCTCACAACTGTGTTGGCCGCAAAGCCTACACTCAGAGCTGCCTTAGCTCCTGCGCTACCGCGCGTACAGTGCTTTGGTACAGGGTGCAATAGCATCCGAACGTGTGGCATTCGCCCACAGTTCGCACCAGAGGACACGACAGTCCTCGCGAACGCGTCCGGAGCATGGTGTCTCCCGCGAGGGACGACACCGAGAAGGGCAACACCTTCCCCAGCACTAGAGGGAGCTCTCAGCTCACCTCGGGCCATGCCTTTGGCTCCAGCAAGGATGGATCCTTGCGGGCGGAGCTTCTGCCACGCTCTCTTCGCGTCTTGGTCACCATACCAACGGCGCGTAGGTGTCTTTCATCGACACCATGTACCGTGACGGTACACAACCGTGGTGTAGGTGTCTCTCAACGGAACCATGTACCGTACGCTACTAACCTTTGCTGAGGTACGCCCACCACAAGGCTGCCATGTTTGGCGGCAACAGCTTCTGCTGTGCTGTCGCCTGAACAAATTCATGGGCAGTGCTCACATCATGCACGACGCATGTGCAAGCACAGTGTACAGGTCCATGGGCCCGTACACGAGGTACGCTGTATACGTCACGTACCACAGCTACCATAAGTGCTCCGTGCACGTCATGTGTACCATGCACGACGAGTTCATTACGTGGAACTCCTGGCAGGCTGCTCGACAGCAGCCAGTGCCGATGCACGGTACGTGCGTTGACTCACAGCGTATACGCTCAGCGCGCATCGGGTCGTGGTGTGGTGCAAATCCTTTGCACCTATACCAGTGTCTGTCACAGACACCATGTACCTTGATGGTACTCGACCGTGGTGGGGCATATCTCACCACCATGCCACTGCGGCGTTGGTGTCTGGCATTGACACCGAGTACGCACGGGTACCAACCCATGGTGAGGCAAGCTGCCATCACCACGGTGTCATGCTCGGCGCGGCACCAGTTACGACTGCGTGCCTTGCCTCGACCACCACCTGGTCAGTTGTGTGTGCACTCGTGCACCACACTTGGGTTATGGCTCCACGGCCCATTATACCCGGCGCGTTGCTTATAGCACGTACCGCAACCGCTTTGTCGGCGGGTGAGACGCTCCGTTCACCCTACTTGACAGGTCGTTCATGACCAAGGGACCAGTGCGTTGATTGCACTAGGCCCGCGCTTCGCCTCGTGTGTGGTTGCTTGCAACCCCAACACTGCTGATTTGCTCAGCGATTCCGAGGCACCTTGCGCCAGTGGCTTTCTTCGTCACTATGTCCTGTTCGGCTAGGGCTACCACAGCTCTAGCCCGGCTGTTCGCCTCCAGCCTGCGGTCGATGTACATCGACGCCTGGTTCCGTAAGGAACTTGGTCTTACCTCAAGACCAGGGAGGAAAGGTATTTCCGAGCCTCTCCCCCACTTACACTTGAGACTATTGAGTCTCTCGTGGCTTGTGATAGCCACTGGCAGGTGTGACGGCTCTCCGTCCTGTGCACTGCGTCGGTATGGACGACCGCGTCGGCCGTGTCGACCGAAGGCACCCAGCCTTCGCGTCAGCAGTTTGAGTCCGCGCGACTTGACGTCGAGCGAGTTGCTCACGTCTGGCGAGGCCAAGACAACCTCGCGCCTCGAGCCAATGGCTCTGTGTGCGGAGCTATGTTACCCACCTTGGTTGTGTGGAGCTCTGTAACCCACACCGGAAGCGAATACAGCGACTTCCTTATCAGTTATGGTCTGAGTGACCTTGCGTGGAACTTTGTTACCCACGCTCGGAGTACCGAATGTCGGTCTCCTTAAGCAGCTTCGCTGCTTGCGGAACTTGTTACCCGCAATGTGGACCTATGTTACCCACCTGGTGAATGCCCTTCGGCACCACCACTGTCGAAGCGCATACGGCGCGACGACCTTCGGTGTTGGGATCAGCTGACGTGGCAGACCCGCACACACATCGGACAGAGTTGGTGTCCACCGACCGAGTCAGAGGCGTCCGGGCCCTGGACCCCGAGTCGCTTGAAGCGACGTCGGCCTGAACAAGGTTCAGACCCGACTTGCGGCGGCTGACGTGACGTGGCACTTTGTTACCCACGTCGTGATGTCTCGTTGACGACATCAGAGGCACTCGAGACCTCGTGTGGCACTGTGTTACCCACACAGGAAGCATGGACAATGCCTTCCTCTTCAGTTATAGTCTGGGTGACTGCGTGTGGTACTGTGTTACCCACACAGGAAGCGCATTCAGCGCCTTCCTCTTCAGTTATAGTCTGGGCGACTGCGTGTGGTACTGTGTTATCCACACAGGAAGCGCATTCAGCGCCTTCCTCTTCAGTTAAGGTCTGGGCGACCGTGTGGTCCTAAGCTACCCACCTGGTTAGCGCTTAAAGGCATAACCACTGTCGAAGCCCGTACGGCGCGACGACCTTCTGCGTTGGACGCTGATGGTGTAGCAGGTCCACACGCCGGGCAAAAGACCCATGCCCGTGGCATTGTCGCAGGATAGCATGGTCTTGCTGTACGCAGAGCTGTTGGCGCGTTGACAGCTCCGTGACGCTTCTGCGTCCTGGCGGTCTGTATCAGACGCCCCAGTCATGACGGAGGTGGGAACATGACTCGCCAATGCTCCGTCATAGACCTGGACTGGTAGGCCCTTCTCAGCCTTGCCCCACCAAAGTCCGGGCTGTGCCTTATGGTCGGCACAGCCATGTTGTTCATGGCGAGAACTGCGAGCGACACCGCGGTGCGCGAGTCCATCGAGCCGAAACGTTCAGGTCCGTTGAGGACCATTGGTACTTCCTTCACCGTACCAAAGGGCTAGTTGCCCCAAAGGACCAGCCCACGACCGCCACGCTGACATAGAGTGCAGTCGAATGTCGCTATGCCAAAGTGACGTTCCGGTGACGTATCAACCCCCCCAGAACTCATCCAACGTTCAAAGGGGTACCGGTACCCCCCGTACACCGAGTGTACTACCAGCAGCCCATCACTGCCCCTTCACCGGTTTGAGAGAGCCACGTCTCTCTGGGCTAAGTCCCCGTGGTGCGCACAACCTGCACCCCCATCCCGAAGACTTAGCGCTCTTCAGTAGGGCATACTGCCTCTACTGGTGGCCGGGGAGTCTTCGTCCACCTGGCCGTGGCCTGCGCCACCGGACTTAGGGCCCACGGGCCGTCTTCTTCCCGAGGACTAGCGAGGGACACACACGCTGGTAGTGTCCATGTCCGCCGCATCCATTGCAGCGGACCAAGCTCTCGGCTGAGCTTAAGTCCATGGGTTCGGCCTCGCTGTACGCACCGGTACCAACGGGCTGCGTGACAGCAGGAGCAACGGCGTCATTGCTGCGATGCTCCGCCTCCCGAGGAACGCCATTCTCATCGTGGCGATGTTCCTCTTCCCGAGGAGTACCAGCCTGCTTGTGGCTGTACTCTTCTTGAAGGGCGATTCGAATCGCCTCCTCCATAGTTGTCGCTTGCACCCGGAATAGCTGGGTGCGAGCAGGACCGACCGTCAGGCCGTCCATGAAGACTGTTGTCTTGACGTCTTCAGGCAGAGGATTCCCTGCCAGAGATGCCACCAACGTGCGCATCTCTTGCGCGTACTCCTGCAGCTCACGTTTACCTTGCTTACACGCGAGAAAGCGTGAGCGCTGGCAGAACACATTGTTCGCCGGT